ATCTTTTATCTTTTATCTTTATCTTTTATCTTTTATCTTTTATCTTTATCTTTTATCTTTATCTTTTATCTTTATCTTTTATCTTTATCTTTTATCTTTATCTTTATCTTTATCTTTATCTTTATCTTTATCTTTATCTTTATCTTTATCTTTATCTTTATCTTTATCTTTATCTTTATCTTTATCTTTATCTTTATCTTTATCTTTATCTTTATCTTTATCTTTATCTTTATCTTTATCTTTATCTTTATCTTTATCTTTATCTTTATCTTTATCTTTATCTTTATCTTTATCTTTATCTTTATCTTTATCTTTATCTTTATCTTTATCTTTATCTTTATCTTTATCTTTATCTTTATCTTTATCTTTATCTTTATCTTTATCTTTATCTTTATCTTTATCTTTATCTTTATCTTTATCTTTATCTTTATCTTTATCTTTATCTTTATCTTTATCTTTATCTTTATCTTTATCTTTATCTTTATCTTTATCTTTATCTTTATCTTTATCTTTATCTTTATCTTTATCTTTATCTTTATCTTTAAGTAAGTAGGAGAAAAGTAAGAAAAGTAAAATAATAGAAAAGTAGTAGAAACATTATCAACATACTTTTTTTATTGATATAAAGTCAAAAGTTCAACACGATACTTTTCTATAAATTTTTTATTACACATTTACAATAATATACCAATCAATGAAAGTAGTAAAAGGAAGTGACCACATCGTGACACACGCAATTAGACATTCTGTGATCATTTTAGCAGTTACCCAAGTTATTTTAAAAGCAAGTATGCTTGTCAATAGTCAGAAGAGGCCGCTTGCTTCGCATAAAATACGGCGGTTACCCATACAAAAAGAAAACATGGTCACCGTATGCTTCGCCGTGTTCTTCGGGTAATCCTTGCAGAGATGAAAACCTTGCGTTTCCTCCAGCTGGATCCGAAAGAGTTTCGGTAGGTCCTACCGAAACTTCCAAGTCCAGCAAGTACCGTAGGAGGAAGTTATAATGGACTTTCTTGCTCGTTCTTGTCCATCAAAATCTAGCTTACCTAAGAAGCCTGACTGGTAGGTACTCTTTATATTTAAGCTTTGTTTGGCGTTAAAAAGGGTCAAATTTCTATAAGAGTCAAATTTAAATAAATAAATTGGTTTTGGCTTTGATGAGGATTCTGTCACGTATCTCTAGCCAATCATCAATCATAACAGAGAACCTAAGAGTTCCACTCCTGCCACGCGGGTCTGCGCTCGTGAGCGCATGCGCCTCCAGATCCAGCTGCAAAGGTTAACCGCCATTCCGAAGAATAAAAGAAAAATAATACAACCATTCTAAAAAATATATGTTTTATTATTAATATGCGTTTATAAACATACAAATCACGGCAAGACCCGAAAGTACAATAGATTAAACAAGTGGTTGGTCCTGCAACATATGTATTGCCAAGTCACTGCGGCAACCATGCGCGTTTGGTATATAATATTTTTAAGTGCACCCACGACATAGGATCGAGTCCTCGTATAAAACAACGTTTATAGAAATAACAAAACTAACAAGATCCAGATTGAATGTGATTAAATTTAAAATTAATTTACCTACTTATTTATCTTTTAAGTTAGTAATAAGTACCTATTAATGTAGTCTGTGGCACATAATTTACATTTATTAGTGGAAACTACAGAGAAATCAATCACACAACATGTCAAATTTAATATCTTTATTATCTGGACGAGTTTTACCTTAAAACTAAAACTACTGTCATAGTTAATCTCTTGTCAAGTCATCTGATTGGTTGACTGAATTATCAATAACCAATCAGATGACTTGACAAGAGATTTAACAGGAGATTAGTTAATTTTAGCGTTGACAAGCCTTTCAGAAACCGGGTGTTAAACTACCGTTCAATAACTTTACATACATGGTTAAGTACCTACAACAGCATCGTTAATTATAAAATATAGAAACACAATTGTTTTTATTAAAACCTAAACATTTACAAAAAAATAAAATACTAACAGTTTTAGGTAAACCAAATATTGTAAACGTTGCTTAAGTAGGTACATTAAACTGGATAAAACAATCAGCAAACCGTTCACCTTTAATTTAGATTCACGTGGTCATAACAATATCTTCTTTATGTCTGTTTACATGCCGAAGCCAAAACCAACTCATAGTCATTGATTTTAAAGACGGCTTTCCATAATTTCCAAAACACTGCCGGGAGTGACGGGTATATCAGAAACTTCTCGGAATAAAAACGAATGATATGGACTGTAATCCATGTAGTCGTTGCCAACGCGTATTTCTACAGCAGTCTTCAATAATTCTGGATTTAACAGCAGTCCATCCAAACTTCTTCCACTTACAATCGCAAATAACGCCACAAATATAAAAAATATTAATAGTTTAGCCATTCCCGACTTGTTCGTGAGAATAGCCTTACAATTTACTACGAAGATACTTTATATACCATGGTCCGCTGTTGATATAACAACATGCTAATTTGTAAATCTATAAGGAGTGCAAATCTTGCTTTGTAATACAAAAAGTAAATGTTTTTTCTTTGTATTTAATATTGTGAAATCAGGTGATAGTTACTTATCATCTAGTCTGGTCTTTGAAAAGTCAAATTATGGGACAGACATGAACTGTCGAAGTGTGACGTGGCCAGAATTTGTACAGAGGCACATCTTAACATAAACTAAATTTCTTTAAATAACTAGCCACTCTCGCGCGGTTTCACCCGCTGCTCTGATCCTACAGATCGAGGCGTGATGTTTTATAGCCTGTAGCCTTCCTCGATAAATGGACTAACAAACAAAAGTAGTTCCCTAGATTTGCACTTTCAAACAAACAAAAAAACGTTTCAGCTTTATAATATTATAATATAGATTAATATACACCGATTTTCAGTGTCGGAAATCATCAAATGACTTCTCCTTCCAGGGTGAGGCAAAAGGGAGTATGACACTCTTACTGACTAAAAACCACCGCTTTAATTCGTCTCCTGCTCCACGCCGGGGACGCGGTACTTTATTGCGACTGCCTCCGCAACTCCGGCTAGTCATAAGCATGAACCTATATGCACCAATATTCATAAAATGATGCATCAAAAATAATTTTCGAAAAAGTGGTTACCTACTCTTTAGTAATCACTTTTTAGTAAACAAGTTTGTAGGTACTTGATTCAAACTTTTAATATGTTTTACTGACAGCTCCTATGTTATCAGGTTGATGGACTTGCAAACATAGTCAAGTGATTTTTGTGTGTCGCTTGATTATGATCAATATCGTTCCAGTTCTCGTTACTTATATTTAATGGAAAAAACATTAATCTAACAAGCACTCCTCTAGGTGTAGACAAGTTTTGTAGCGAAAATGAAGACTTTTGTACTGCTCATAATGACGACTTTTTTCGCAATCTCATCATCCGAGCCCAATCTCAAACTCATGCCAGTTCAAAACAAATGCAATGTAATAATACCAGTTGAATATTATTCACAGACAGTGCTCTTTGATATTGATGGGTTCGGTCAATCGGATTTAAAAACGTGTATCTTGAAAGAATGCCTCTTTGATCACAGTGTGATCTTATTAGACGTATTTGGTAAAGACATAGACATCGGGCTGAATACAACAAGACATTTTATAAGAACCAGCGAAAACCCAAACGTGATGATTATAACGAAATATTTGACAAAGAAAGTAATAAACTCTCCAGTGTGGAATTTCTTCTACAAATCCAGATGGTCTACACTTTATATGATCGTCACTGACGACATTAAATACAAGTGCGCGAATGGTACAATGCAAACAAAGGATTTTCTAAATCTCGGAAGAATTATGAACTATTTGTGGCACAAGTTCCAAATCATGCGTGTTGCTCTATTATTTCCTCACGCGTGTGAAAATAAAATCATTCTTTATCACGGCAAACGACCATCCTCTAAAGTTTTATATGATAGATCAATTAAAGCTTATAATAACACGAATAATCATGACACATATTTAGCTATAAAGAAAAGTGGTGAAAAATTGGCTGCCGACTATCCCATGCAAGGGAGTATATTCCACAGAATCCCTACGTCTATCAAGGATTGTAGCAATATGCACTACTATGTGCATTTCAATTTAGATTTGACACTTGGCTATTGCGGTTTGGATGGAATGGTAATGCATGACATCCTTACTTATTTAAAATTTAATCTCACCGTCCCAGAAAATCCTTCTTGTGACAATTACGGGTACGCTGTTCCGGGTAACGTTAGCGGTGTGCTCGGATGCATTATTCGCAATGAAGTGGACATATCCTTCAATTCTAGATTCATGACATTGTACTCGGACGAACATATTTACTACCTGCACTATGTTACAATCGACACACTGTGTGCTCTTATAAAAAAACCTGACGAAATACCACTTTGGCAAGGTGTGTTTAATTTTTTGTCTGCGGAATTGTGGACATTAACAGGAGTGGTGTTAGTGGCGATAGCTTGCGTCCTGTGGGCGACTGCGCTAGTAAACAAAACATTGACCGGCTCAGAGACAGAGACATTCTGGAGCTATCTACACTCTAGTGTAGTATCAACAATGATCGGATATTCTCCGATAAAAACTAAAACTTATCTCATGATAAGAAGTGCATGCCTAATGGGATCAATTTTATTTTTAGCTGTTTACCAGGTAAGGGAGTTAACTCACTAAACTACTTTGTATCTTTACTCATCCAATAAAAATATTTTGTTTAATAGTTTTTAAACCAGTATTGCTTTTCACAGTAAATTCACGAAAGTAAGACGGCATTTTCATTTACCATGTCTAACGGTAACTATTCAAAAATAACCTCGTAAGAAGTTACGTTCCTCAAAGAACTTCTGACTTCGTAATTTTTTTTATATTTCAGAGTCACATGAGTAGAGTATACACAACAATGAAACATTTCCCTCAAATAAAAACTCTAAAAGATTTATATTCGTCTGGAGCGAGTTTATATACTTCCCCAACAATGAGAGAATTCATAAGGCAGTTACAGAATCCAGATGACGAGCTGCAAAGTGAATTCTTTAATAAGGCATCTTTGACGACTGGAGAACGACTCGGTGAGATCAATGACAGCTCCTGGACTATCAAATGGCTATTTTATGGCCAGAAACAATACGCAGTAACTAGTTAATTTCTTTACTTGATCACAAATCCCTAAAAGAGTAAAAAGCTAGCAAATGGAATAACATACATGTGCCCTGAAATTAATTATTATTCGGAAAGCTCAGCCACCTGTCATGTCAAATTTCTCGTCGTTCAGAAGCTTTTATCGCAAGATTAGCGCTAGAAAATGTAATTGGCCAACCAAACCCACAAATTCTATTTTTCATTAAACTGTCCGTACGTTACTTCAAAGCACTTAACATCAAAATAGATTTATTGCATTTTGTTAGCAATGCTTAGAATAAAAACATTATTAAGAAAAATAATTTTACAGGGAAACTTCTGGAGAATCCACATCTTGCTACAATAGACAGAAAATCAGACGCCGAGATGGAAATTCTCAAAAATTACTCAGATCCTTTTGGCATGCCTCTTATAGACATATTGGAAGAATGTTTCAGGACCTATTATGTCTCATATATTGCACGATCAGGTAAGATGTATTACAAAGTATGTTTTGATAAAACTACAAGTGGAATTTGGTCTTAATAAAACGAAATCCGTAAGACATACTACAAACATAAATTGATTATCATTAATTTTAATATCATTGGATGTTCTTAAATCGGTCACATTTTCTACTTCAGATTTTCCGTTTTTCGAATCTGTACAAATGTTTACTGAGCGGCTGCAAGAAGCTGGTCTTCCGGCAATGTACTACAAGTGGACCCAGCAGATGCTTGAGATTCCAAACACTATACCAGACAACCGCAGCCAGCCACGAGCGTTCTCGAAAATAAAGCTAATCGATCAAAGTGTTGCTTTTGCAATACTTGGTCTCGGTGTAATGAGTTCATTAGCTATATTCATAGTTGAGATATGGAACGGAAAACGGCTAACCAGACAACATTAAACTGAAGGATATTTGGGACTGATACTTGCTTCTTAATTTTACAATTCTGCCTAACCGATCTAAAATATCTGATTCAGTCAAATTCTATATAAATCATGTATTCCAACTACCTAAACCATAAATAGGTACGTTTTAAACGTAAAAATAGAACAGCAGTCTGTCAGTCTGTTCGTCATTGAAATTAGGTGGTCGTTCCAAATTGTAAATTCAAATGGAGAACAACAACCAAAAAGTACTCTTTTAAAAAAGTATATAGGTACTCCATAGATAGCTACTTTACATAGGTACTTTATTTGGCAAAAAAACATTATTAATTAATTATTTATATATATGTATGTATAGTAGATAAATAGCACTTTGTGTCTGCAATCTAGTTAAGTACAAAAAGTGTACTTATCTAATTAATAAACGTTTGAAATGCAAATGGTTTAGTCAGTAAGTGCCCGACACTCCCTCTCGTCCGGCCCTGGGCGGGAGAAGGCATATGATGATTTTCCCCTCACAAGAAAAAAGTTTGAACCATAGCGACGAGGGAATTATATACCGTATCTACTCGTTTTCCCTGACCCCAAATGAATTCCTAATTAAATGCTTGGCTATCTAAAAATGGCTTAGCTCTCCAACAAAAATCTCGAGCTATCCTATCACTGTCTTATTACATATGTACAATATCTCTCTACAACGGAGAAAGACATTAAACGCAAATTCAGGAATTGTGTCATACAAATTAAAAAGCATTCGTTTTTAAATGAGTTATTTACTTTGAACCTATTATATAAAAGCAATTTATCGCGTGTTAAACTCTCATTCAAAATGGAACTAGAAATTATTATATTTCAAATTTTGACGTCTCGAGGACCGATTAGGAGATTGTGTTTGTGATTACCGACAAATCAAATATCTTTTGTCGAAGAATGTCATCATCAATATCAAAATCTTCAACCTTAATAACCGTAATGGCAGTTTATCAAATGGGCCGAACAAACATTTGCTGGTGATTTATGTAAACACCGAGAAGTAATCATAATTTACCTACAATAAGATTCCTGACACACTTTATCGAATACTTTACGAAATAGAAGAGCTTAACTTGCAATGGATACAAGTATGTAGAAATTAACAGCGACGTAGTATTACACATCAAGCAGTAAAAATGATGATCACAGTGCTCTTCTTGATTACCACCTATCTGGCGTTCTCTATGTCTGAAATCAACCAAAAGCTCATACCAGCTCAATTAGATTGTAATAATATAGTGTTACCAATTGAATATTACTCACAGACAGTGTTTTTCGATATGGACGTGCACGGTCAACCGGACTTGAAAACATGCATCTTGAAAAATAATCTTTCTGGTCTCACACGGATCTTAATAGGCGTGTATGGTACAAAGATAGACATTCGAGTGAACGTCACAAGAAACTTTATAAAAACCAGTGATAACCCCAATGTGATAATCATGACAAAATATTTGACACCGAAGATGATGGACTCTTCACTTTGGAAGTTCTTTTTTAGATCCAGGTGGTCTATACTGTACATTGTCATGACTGGAGACAAGTTCAAATGCGAAAATGGTACAATGGATACGAGTAACTTAGCATTGCTCGAGAGAATGATGAATGTTCTCTGGCATAGGTTTCAAATCATGCGTGTTGCTATATTATTTCCTTTTACGTGTGAACAAAAAATTCTTCTGTATCACGGAAAACGTCCGTCATCTAACAGTTTATATGACAGATCGGTTAAGTTATTTAATAATTCCAACCCACATGATACATATTTGGCAATACGGAAAAGTGGTAAAAAGTTAGCTGATGACTATCCTATGCGAGGGAGTATATTTTATAGATACCCTACGTCTATTAAGGATTGTAAGAATATGCGCTACTATGACTCGTATTATAATTTGAAATTAACTGGCGGGTACTGTGGTGTGGATGGGATGGTAATGCACGACATCCTCTCACATCTAAAGTTTAACCTGACCATGCCGGAAAATGAAAACTGCGACAACTACGGGTACGCAGCGCCTGGTAACGTCAGCGGTGTGTTGGGGTGTATCATTCGCGATGAGGTGGACATTTCCTTCAATTCCCGATTCTTGACATTGTACTCTGACGAACATCTTTATTACCTGCATTTTGTCAAGACTGAAAAATTGTGTGTTTTAATAAGAAAAACCGACATCATACCAATTTGGCAAGGTGTGTTTGATATGTTAACTCCAGAGCTGTGGGCACTCACAGGCATGGTGTTAGTGGCAATAGCTTGCATCCTGTGGGCCACTGCGCTGGTAAATAAGACTTTAAGCGGTTCAGAGACGGAGACATTCTGGAGCTATTTATATACCAGCGTATTATCCACTATGATCGGCTACTCGCCGATGAGTACAAAATCTTTTCTGATGATACGAAGTGCTTGTTTAATGGGATCAATTCTGATATTAGCTCTATATCAAGTAAGTATATGGTTTAAAATCGTATAACCATTTTATGTTTCCTTATAACCTTTTGGTTCCTTGGTTAAATCTATTCGTCGTTTCAGGGCCACATGAGTAGGGTGTTCACCACAGTCAAACATTTCCGACAAATTAGAACTTTACGAGATCTTTACGGTTCTAGTATTACTCTGTATACTTCTCCTTCAATGAAACAATTTATGAAACAACTACAGAATCCTGAGGACAGGTTGCAGAAGGAGTTCTTCGATCGCGTATTCGTGACGGTCAACGGACAAATAGGCAAGTACCTACCTAATAGTAAGTGCTATGACAACATTCGCAACATTATTTAAATAAGTATACGCATGATATTCAAGTAGGTTTATGCGAGTTATTTAAATTTTCAGTGTAGATGCAACTCTAGAACTAAAGCGTTTTTATACCTAAGAATACAAAATTGGTAGTAGTGAACACATATTAAACTCCTGCCCTATACAATAAGATATATACTCTCTAACTTCCAGGCACACTCTTGCACCGTAGAGATTTAGCTACAATCGATAGAAAATCAGACGCCTTAATGCAGATTATGAAAAACTACACCGACCGCTTCGGTACGCCTAAGATCGATATAGTGGACGAATGTTTCTACACTTATTATTTGTCATACGTTGCGCGATCAGGTAAGTGGAAGATATTAAACACATATACATTGTATCCCTATAGGGCACTGCGGCATCGGCCTAGAGCAGGAGAAAGAAAGAGGGGAGGCTCGCCTCACGTTGGGCAGGAGAAGTCATTTGACGATTGTCCCCTCGCAAAATAAAACCTCCTCTCCTCTCTCACTCTCTGCGAGTACAGTCCAGTATTTTTGTGGGGGAGGGGGCAACGTAATAAATAACTGTATTCTCATCATCAACCTATAAGTGCCCACTGCTGAGCAAAGGCCTCTTTTCATACGGATAAGGTTAGAGCATTAATCACCACGCTTGCTCAATGCGGGTTGGCGATTTCAAACTTATAAATAGGAATTATAAGTCCAGGTTTCCTCAGGATGTTTACCTTCACCGTATGTCAGTGGTGTCTAAATAATCATAGAAAGTACATATAACTCGGAAAAAGTCACATTGGTACTTGCCAGGTTTCGAACCCATACCCTCATGCATGAGAAGCGGGCTCCTTGACCTCCGGGCCACCACGACATTTTGATAACTGTATACTGATACCAGCTGACTTAATAATCACTATCACAGTAAAATAATTGTTTTTTTCTGTTTTCCTTAGACTTTCCATTCTTCGAAGACGTTCAGTATTTCACGGAGCGTCTACAAGAAGCTGGTCTCCCAACTATGTATTACAAGTGGACACAGCAGATGCTGAACATCCCAAGATTGGTGACAGACGACAACCGCAGCCTTCCACGACCACTCTTCAAAATACGGTTGAGGGACGAATGCGTGGCTTTTGCGATACTATTCTTTGGTTCATTATGTTCCCTTGTAATTTTCGCAGCTGAAATATGGAAGGGGAAACGCCGAAATAAGGAATCACGAATGACAGATTTTAAGTAAAAAAATAGTATTACTATAAAAAAGAGGTTAGAGTGTTTCTAGATTAAAAAATTTAGGTAAATTTGATTGTATGGTAGTTTGTAAGTTTGTGATGGAAACAAGCCCTGTTTATTTCATTTAAAAGCTTTTTCTGTAGTGTAACTATATTACTTTTTTAATGTACTACCTGATTTCTTTGATTTAGGCGTGGTGTCTTTTGCTTTATATAACTGACTAGCTACTCTCACGCGGTTTCACCCGCTGCTCGGCTCCATTGGATCGTAGTGTGATGTTTTATAGCCTATAGCACTCAGGAACATTGTAGCTATCTATCAGTGAAGGAATTTTGGCAGTCCGACCAGCGGTTCCAAAGATTACCCCCTACATACAAACTTAATAATTTTACCTCTTTATAATATTAGTATAGATAATTATTTTCTTCTCTAAGGTGAACATAATTTCTAAGATAAGATTTTCTCATGACGTGGCCGGTTTAATGCTTTTACGAAGTCAACATATTCTTTAGGTACATCTACAGAATCTTAATGAGAGATTGTGTCTATTCTATATCACAAATAGTAGAGGAAGGAAAAAATCAAAAACAAAATATTGTTAACTTGGCATTTTATAGAATTTACTTTTTAAGTATTCTTTTTACAATGTCACAATAAATAAAACAATGTTAAATTTTGTGTCTACTAATAACTAGCTGCCACACGGCAGGGTTTCGATGTCCACATGTCCCATTAATAAGGTCACTATAAACATTTTGAAAATAATAAAAAAACTTGAATTAAAACAATGTATTGTTTGACCAAAACAAATTCATTAACTACAATAATTCTAGAGATAGTTCATACAAAATTATTACGAATAGTTTCACTTAGTCTACATTTAAAATCGATGAATTAAAACTTAATTCTAATAATAAAAAAATGACTGGCTGAATCGCGTACATATATTTTGAATCTGTGTTCTTCACATTTAGAAAACGCGCGAATTCTAAATATATGCGATTAATTCTGTCAAAAGTTTAACTTGTAGAAGCATAAAAGTCAATATAATATCACAATAAGGATAGCAAGCATATAAAAATAATAATTTCAATAAAATACTTCAAATCAAATAAAGTAATAAATAGGAACGATATATTTGTAGCTACAATAACCGAGGTAACAATTTGTAATTACTATCTATCTACTTACAAAGGAATATAAAATATTGTCTTTCTAATATTCACGATTACAGCCTGGGGATACCTATTTAAACCATATAGCTATAGAATGAGCAGGAAGAATCACTAGATGAAGACATTTCATCTTACATAACACATACAACTTGTTCACAAAATAATACACATAATTTTTTTTTACTAACGAACTTAAAAACTCAGGCAACATTTAAGAGCAAAATAGAAATTAAATAAATTAAACTTAAAAACTAATAAATCAAGACACTTTTTTAAATATTTATTTAATGTCAACATAAATGTCATGTTCAAAAATAGAATGTCAAATGTTAAACAAAAATGGCCGTTGAAAGTTGCGCAAGTTTATTCCGTTAATAAATTCCTGAGTATTCGAATAAAAGTAGATTCTGAAAACAAATACTACTAATGTATAATGCAACAATATTGATAATTTTATATTCATACTTCAAAAGATGAATTTCAATAAAAAAGAGTGTTTGATTGCGAGTTTTATAACAAAACAATAATTCATAAGGCATATTTTTACAAACATACATTTATTAACACCAATCACCAACCTTTGAGCGGGAATATTGCATATAGATACACCTACGTCAATTTCAAATATACTAAGGGCTTTTGACTCCGGGCTAGATTCCTGTGTTGAGGTCACGTATACGCGCGAACATGCGCGTTTACGCTCGTTCGAAACAAATGCACAGAAACCCACCGGGCACATCACCACTACATACAATAAAGCGTAACATCTGGCGTACTATTTACATAATATTTTATATTAAATAATCTCCTTAACCATTATAAATCTTTGATATAGCTTAACAGTATTTCAGTATCTAAATATTTTAACAGGCACTAAAACGATAGTCCACATTACCACTTTGAGTAGTACGATTAATGTCACTTTATATTACACACGAATTACAAAACTCGATCTTTTTGCTTACGAAATAAAGTTTAAGTTCAAGATTAGTGATATTACCGACGTGCAGTTTGACTGTACATCGAAAAAGTTTTTTATTGACAAGTATGTCGGACGCGGTGAGTTACACGCGTCGGAAGTGTTGTATTATGTAGAGGAGGTAACGTAGCACTTGGGATAAGTATATGGGGGGTGGGTATCACCTGGCGAGGGGGAGGCACGCGGCGCAGGCGGCGAGGAGGCAGTAAAGCCACCGCTATTTGGATATGCTGCCGTTTTTCTTGCGCGCGGGGAGCAGCTTGAAGCTGGGCTGCGGCGTGAGGGGCGCGGCGCAGTCGGCCGGCCCGCCCTCGGCGCTGTACCAGCCACACATGCGCCGCACCGCGTCCTGCCACCGCGCGAACGTCACCTCGTACGACTTCTTCATGTACGTGCGCGGCGTGAACACGCACTCGATTTTACGTAACTTCCTCAGCTCGTCTTTCGACTTCCATATACCTGGGGATTTAATATAAATATTATACCTGTTTTTTTTTTCAATTTCAACCAAGTGATTTAAGCAAAGACGTGTATCTACCGACATTTTATTTATTTTAGTTTAATTTTACTTGGGTAGAGACAACAAACAGCTACATTTTAAATAGTGTACACAGGCATTATAAACGAAACTTAATGTAACAATGCAGCCCATACCGACACCCACAATTTTTTATAATAATTACGTTGTCAATAGTGCATTAATTAAACTTGATGGGAACACAATTAGTGGGACAAGCGCAATAAGGTACCGTGGCCTAGAGCAGCAGAAAGAACGGGGGTTTTTAGTAGTAAGAATACTAGACAATTTACCTAATTTGTATCCCACTATGTGGGCACACCCCTGCGAAGACATCTCTACGTGGACCGGTCGTTCAACGCGCAGTCCTGTGAGGTCCGCTACTAACTGAGCGATGAAATCATTGTTTGAGACACCGCCGTCTAACCTGTAAACAAAAAATAATACAAAATGTAAATTAAAATATCTTTGACTTGCAAAGCGCAAAATAGAGAGAACTATACCCGGCTATATGGATAAAAAAGGCTAACCCGGTTTCTGAAAGTCTTGTCAACGCTAAAATTAACTAATCTCATGTTAATTCACTTGTCAAGTCATCTGATTGGTTGTTGATAATTCAGTCAACCAATCAGATGACTTGACAAGAGATTAAATTGATTTTAACATTGATCGGCCTTTCGGAAACCAGGTGTAAGTATGATGAAGAAACTAAAGAAGCTAAGTTGAATGAATGATACCAATTTTAAATAGTTGGGGACGTTATGACTGTTTTATGGCTCTTTAGTTTATTTAACAGTAGTGCAACTTTATGGTGGGCTTTAATTACTGACTGGTGTACCTTACAAATGATGTCGCAGAAAAAACGATGGTGCAAATAGGTACCTACATCAATAATCTGTCCATATAAAAATAGTGTTGGGCCATTGATCCCTCAGGATTTAGTTCATTTCATTATATAGTCGTCGCGATTCAAATATTATTAAAAACGTTACTTTTTTATTGAAATATCTCTGAATTGTGTATAAGAATCGCGACATACGTAGGTGACACACGCCAAAAAGTTTACATCAAATAGCACACTTATTTCATGAGAAACTACGAATAACATTCAAAAAAATATCTATGATATAATGAAACCATTAATGACATAAACAAAATCTCATTGTATAGAAAAGTTGTAATATACATATTTGTTTTTTATCCAAGAAACTACTTAATTATTCCTACTAGTTTTTACATACCTGATAGTATGGAAGGAGTAATTAGTTTCGTTGAGCACACAATTGTATAGCTGCGCAGTTCTAAAGGCAAGCGACTCCAGCACGGCGCGCACCAGGTGAGCCTTCGTAGTCGACGGCTTCATGCCAATGAAACCCGACGCTGCAGACCCGTCGTTGTAAGGGGGCTGGAAATTGAATAAAAAGTGTTTTTATATTGAGTATATTTCTACAGTTTTAAGTTTAAAATCGTCACCCATAATGATTTGAGGTGTTTTTCAACACGCTTTTCATAAAGTGGTTATAATCCCATGGCAATTAGGCACAGAATGACAACTATAACCAAACTGTTACTTTATCATTACTATTATTCACTAGTGATAATCGATTTTTTTAAATTATTGTTGAATTACGCTTAAGCTTGCGTTAAAATGCTGTACACGAAAAGCCCAAAAAAAAGAAACCTCATTTTTGTCTAAGGTCGATGCGCGCGCATAGGAAAAATGATTAATTTTTCCCATTACTACGAAACATTTATATGTATTATCTAAAATGGTTCTTTATTTAAGTATCACTTTATTCAGAAGTGTGTTGATCTCAATGCGCCTCAGCAGAATTCAACAACATTTAACACTTGTACCATAAGGTACTATTTCCAACAGCAGTCTGATGATGATTATAAAAAAGTTCCTTGCATCTACGAATAGTTTGTCTCTGAATCACCAGAACGTTTAACTTGTAGATAATGCACATGCCATTTAGTCTAACAGAATAGTGGCGTAACATAATAGTGTATTTTTTATTATTTTAATTTTAGGTTTGGGATTAATAGGTGAACTTTTTTTTATTATTATTATTATTTTTATTTAATAGGTCGGCAAACGAGCAGACGGATTACCTGATGGTAAGCAATCAGCGCCGCCCATGGACACTCGCAACGGAGGAGTTACGAGTGCGTTGCCGACCTTTTAGGGATTAGGGATTTGGTGATTTAGGGATTTAGGAGGGATTGGGGAGGGGAAGGATTGGGCCTCCGGTAACCTCACTCACACGGCGAAACACAACGCTGTGGTTATTTCACGCCGGTTTTCTGTGAAGCCCGGTCGAGCCGACCCATTCGTGCCGAAGCATGGCTCTCCCACACTTTCTTTGAGTGAACTTATTTGAGTCTATGAAATTGTTTACAATATAAAGACTACTTAAGATATACACATTAGCATATAATTTACCAAGCAAGAGATACTCCGTACGCATCTCATTGCATAGATTATAAATAGTTGTTAAACAACATAATTGCAGGAAAAATATATTTTAAAATGCTTTATTGCTATGAATGGTCGCTGTGGGTCGTTGCGTGAGCAATTATTTTTTATTATAACTTGGTTATGAACCTTCATGCTGACGTATGTGACTAGCCAAAAAACAAGATATAAACTTTAAATATCTTTTCCCATGGTTTACAAACAATACAAAAAACAACGATTCGGACAATAGCATGGTCCATTGTATACATCATGTTAGTACATGTAAATATATAACATAATTAAATACATAAGTATTTCGTTAGCTTTGTTTCATAATAATTTTATTTCTGTGCAATTTAGAAAAGCAAAGTTACTATTTTTCTTTAATTTGTTTATACTTGAAAAAAATTCCTTTAATGTTCATTCACTTTCTTTATCATTGGCATTTCATTGCCAACTGCCAATCCTCAAATTCCGAACTCCCAAAAGACTAACAAGGCACTTTCAACGTTATCTACTGCTGTAATGTGTCCATGGGAGGCAACAATAGCTTACCATCAGGTGGTCCGTCTGCTCGTTTACCGACCTGTCCAATACAAAGGGCTTCTTTATACTAATTAGGTATTAATCCAAAGAAATAGCTTTTTTTACCAAGAATGCAGGTGAATTACCTTGTTAACATAAAATGTTGAATATTTATTTCATGCAAATATATGTTTATATAAATAATCATAAGTAAATAATATGTAAAAAGAAAACGTTGCATATTTCGCCATATTTTTGGGTTACCTTAAAATGTGTTACAAGGTTGTAAATAACTCAATACGGTGGATTTAAAAGTAATATAATTACATTGGTGGCCCTCAAACGTGTTTACCTACTTATACGATGAATCTCGTTCTGATAATGCAAAACGATTAACTTTGAATCGATTATACTAACGAAATGTGTAACATCGATTAATTATGATGACATTTAAATCAAAGTTAATTTAGGATGTGGTGTTTAATACATTATAAAGATATTGGTTTTAGAAATTTTAATTTTTTTTTTTAATTTAATGGCATTAATTATCTAAAAACAAATTGAAGATATACGACAAACCAAGTAAACCCGAGATTTAAATAGAGAAGAGATTAACACATTCAGTGCCCCCGACGCGTATGTGCGTTTCCTCGCACGCACATACGCGTCGGGGGCACTGAATGTGTTAATTAAATTCTGTCCCATACTATGCAACGTTTTAACATTTTCTTTATTTTTTTAGTAACTTTTTCAGCTTGGAGCACATCTTCATTTATTTTTGGTTAAACAGGCGATACCTGAAAATACTCTACACCTCGCATATTTTATGTATCTCAACAAAACAGCTCTATTTCTCAAGGTAAAGCGGTAATTTTTAAGCGAAAACTTTCTATTGTGTACGACGAATGTATGTACCTACTCAATATAATTCGTGACATTAATACGTATTGCCGGTAATGTGAAAGCGATACAATACTTACTTTCACACTCGAAATTGTTGACTAACAAGAAATATTCGTTTTAAAATCGTAAAACATCTAAAGAGCGCTATTTTAAGCGAAGGCTGTTTTTATAGTACCTATAGTTTTAAACCATTATAGTTATAAGTACACTAAAGTTCAAATAATATGGCTCTTATTGTTATAAAAATACGTGATAATTACCCCTAGCCCGCTGAACGCCGGTATGAAGTAAACCCCATCTGTATCCAATACTGAGGTGGCGATATCTGCTGTGTCTTCTGGACTATCGAACAACCCTGAAACAGAAAGGGAATAAAATATATATACACTTTTTGGAATATTAACTATCGTGAGAAATGCTTATGAATAAGACAGAAACTGGTAATCTCTTCTCAATTAATTTACTTGAGCAGGTCGTCATTTTCCATAAATACATAAAGTTTGTAAATGCATGACTCAATACATTTTCTTCAAGACGAATAGACAAGACGATCAGACGATTTTTTATTAGGGTAAAGTGTATACCTAAATAATCATACTTTGATTGCTTAATTATCTTAAATACTTAGTATTATTATTTCTTAGCTAATTTTCAATAAATAATAACGCCATTTGAGGCAAAATTTACGTCACAACACACTTGTACAAAGTTGATATAAAACAGTCGATTTGGACTATTCTATATTCGAATTTTACTATTAATCAAATATCAAATCTATCTCTTCTTTTTGTAAGTAAGTACCTAATCAAAATCGATGCAGTATTAGAATCATATTTAGTATCATCAATCATTACCTAAATTCTGCGCCCACTTGATGATAGAAGCGGTGTCGTTGTTGGCCCCTTCTGCAGAATAAACGAGTTCTTCTCCTAGCCTCCAGCCTACAATGGGGTACAGTCCAGACACGCTTGCGTGTGGTTCCGTACCCGTGTTGATATTGAAGAATGTCCCTGTGCCCATTGTTAGTTTCACATCACCAACTTCGAAGCAACAAGAGCCCCACATTGAAGCTGTTTGGTCAGCCATCTGAAAGGAAAACAGTATTTTTCTATACTTGATATTTTTGGAGGTTAAGGAGCCCGCTTCTCATGCGTGAGGGTTCGAAACCTGGCAAGTACCAATGTGACTTTTTCCGAGTTATATGTTACTTTCTATGATTATTTAGACACCACTGACATACGGTGAAGGTAAACATCGTGAGGAAACCTGGACTTATTATAATTTCTAACTATAAGTTTGAAATCGCCAACCCGCATAGAGCAAGCGTGGTGATTAATGCTCAAACCTTCTCCGTGGGAGAAGAGGCCTTTGCTCAGCAGTAAGCACTTATGGGCTGATGATGATGATGATGATGATGATGATGATGATGATGATGATGATGATGATGATATTTTTGGCTGACGGAACTTCTGATAGGATGCAGTTTCCACAGCCTACGTAAGTACAGTAGTACACCTACCATACTATCACAAGTGCATCCAAACCTAATAAGATACAGGCATTAGACTACCACAAATATCGTAGTCTAATTGGGGTAAGTAAACACCTACAAAACTATCACAAGTGCATTCCAACCGTAACAGAGTCATTAGACCACCACAATTGAGTGCAATGATGAACCATGGGCCCCCCCGGTCCGGATCCGAATAAGGACCCGGCTGGTTTTTTATCAGTAAAATTCGGTAGATTGCGCGCGTGAGAGTAGTGGGAGAGACTTGAAATTTGCAAAATACTCTTTACAGACTTCCTTATTTTATGGAAGTGGAGGAGAAACAAAAACATTCAAATCGGTCGTTCTGAGGTTATAATATAAATAGTTTAATTTACATGGACTTTCGAAAGTTAATTAAATACATTTTTTTAAAGAATTAACCCAATTACTTTAGGATGTACCTACTTATTTACTTCTAATCTTTATGACCTTGTATGTATGTTTCTTCAAAAAATTGCCGAAATCTAGTTCAATTTTACTCCTTAGCAAAATTATATTGAACACTACTGAGGTGAACTGGGTAACCATCTAGTTGCGAAATAAATAAATGCTAGGTTTAGCATAATATTACCTATTTATTTCGCATAAAACAACTAATTAAACGCAGAAAAAAACAGGAATGAGTGATTAATTATTTAATTTGACTAACAATTATGGACATTTTAAAACATTTTTGTAGAATGACCAAGTGGAATTTATTTATACATATTTAGTAAGTAAACATCATTGGTTGTCTTGTTCTTTCCTTTATTCTAATATCGGCACAAATACCTTGACATTGGCATCTAAAAGGAGGGATAGACAATAGAATATACTAGTTACCTATTGTGTAAATTACAAGGAGTATTTGATAAATAGCTGTTAATAGGGGTCGCAATACCGAATCATATAAGCAAAACCGGTATTTTCGGTATTGGCTTCAGACCAATACCGATAATCCGGTATTTTCGATGTTTCCGGGATTAAGCTAAAGTAAGCAAATTTAGTATTATAAAGTTAGTTTCCGGACGAAAAGTAAGTAGCATGTACAACCTAAATGAATTTATCTTCTAAATAAAACAAAATTTTCATTGAGAAAATTCCTCAGAATCCTAAATTACCGCATAAAACCTGGCCGGTCAAGTTTAAGTTATCCAGATAGACTGCTAAAATTTAATGTTCAGCCATGAGAAACAAGGTGCATATTTTTCGACTTGGTTTATCTATATAAAATTACTTACTCTATTATAGATTCCCCTGAATTACTCTCACACATAAGTTTTAACATTAAATTTAGTGTCGTAGATCAAACGAAATTAATCTCTTCGCTCTACAAATTTACAAAAACAATATATCTTTCTATAACCCTTTGACCAGGATGGCTCGCCAATATAATGAAATGGCAAAGAGCAATAACAAACTTTTTGACATATTAAATTACAGCATTAATACATTCATCTCAGATATATAAGGCATTCTTCATTGTCGATCTGGTGTGGATTCTTCAGGCCCGGGAAACTGTGCCTGAAGGATCTTAATCAACCCATATTTTTGTTGAGAGGCACCAATGTTGACACACGTCACTTTATGTTTTCTAGTTTCTACTTCTTGTTTCTTTTTGAGCTTTTTTAATATTTAAAACTTGTGATTTTGCAGTATGCACATATTGTTACGTTACTATCTAGATCAAAACCTTTAGTTTTTAAGCTAATAATATTTGTTTGTAATGTGTCTTGTGCATGAAATAAATAAATAAAAATAATAATAAAAAGAACAAAAAATAAAAGAAAAACATAAAATTCAACAAAACAAAAAAAAACGTAAAAAAATCTCATAAAACATAAAATTAAATTTTAGATGGTTTACTAATCATCAAATAATATTCTAATTAACAAAATAATAAAAAAGCTTTAATTAAATTCAGTCCAAATCAAATTGAGTTATATAGAGGTAATCAAAATATTATTAAATTTTTAGTTGAGCCTCGTAATGGCGTAATTTGTATTAAAAGGCGCGTAACTTTTTGTATTTGTATTTGTTTTTTATTTATTTTACTAAAACCGAAAAAACCGAATATCCCGGTTTTTGTGAAATGAATACCGGTATTAATTACCTACACCTAAATTTGGCCCGGTATTCCGGTATTTTCGAAATTCGGTATCCCGGTTTGCGACCCCTAGCTGTTAAGTATCAATACTATTGCACCACGTAACGTGTAACCAATGCAGTATTTATGCAACACGACTTTTATAAGTGCACTAGGTTCTATCCGCGGCTTCTCCCGCGTGGCATGTTGATAAAAACAGCTAATGTGCTCATCAATGAAAAATGAACAATGAATTTATTTTTGCAAATAGGCCATAAAACGGCACCTTTACACGTCAAATTATATGTGAAAAACTAGATGAAGCCGGCATTTCCTATCTGACTACTCTGAAAAGAAATGCCGAAACAAACTCAGTGGTCAATCCAAGGTTTCACCTAACTACATACCAAATTTCACCCAAGTCTGTCCAGAGTATTCAGCCGTTTTTGTGTAAAATAATAAAAAAAAAATTGAGAGAATGTATGGTTGTATAAACCATACATTCTCTCAATTTTTCCCATTTATAATATTATAATATTAGTCGGATTCTTGTTATGTGCATTGGTATTTGCGACGATTTTAATCATAATTGTTCTCTGTTGTTAGTGTGTCTATGTAGTCTGAGCTAGACTACGACATTTGCACAATGGCTATGAAACCCAAGCTTCTGTCAACGACTTCGCCCGACTTGCCTTCTGTCAAGCAGTGCCAGGGTACGAAATGGCAGTCTTGAACAACTATCTATTATTCCAGATTATAATACATACCTTTGCCAAATTCCATTCAGCTCCGTTCAAAAGTTCCGTACATCCAACCATACTTATAACTAACTATCTAAAACATATAATAACGCGGGTATTAACGCGAAAAGTATTTATCGAAATACCTTGGTGGGCTTGACGTTTCTTTGATTATTTTTTACTAGGTATCTAAACCTTTGGAGAACAAAAAAGAAAATCTGTCCAAATTTCGGTTCATGGCGCTGATGATATATCAGCGCCATGAACCGGTTTAGATAATAAAAAATAATCAAAGAAACGTCAAGCCTACCAAGTTATTTCAATAAATACTTTTCGATGTATTGTGATGATATGGACAAGTACAGTACGGCCGCCGTATCTTGCCGAGTCTGAAGTTAGCCGTTTGTCTGCGCAATGGATCTTTTAGGAACAAATTTGTGTACTGTGCAGCTAATCGGCTAACTTCAGACTCGCCAAGATACGTCGGCGGCATTGTAGGTAAGATTGTTTTTTTGATAATCGAATACCGATAGAAAATCCTTGGGAAGTAACGTTCAACGTGCATAAATAAAAATTGAAGTAGGTATATCCAATTCCTCCACAGTCTTATAAAAGAAATATTATATACTTGTGTATAATGCAAAAAAATCTAGGAACAATTCTAAGTTTAATTTATGCATCATTCTCATTAAATATTAAGTATATTTGACATTGAACCTTCTCAACTTGACTGTCGGATATTTTCCCCGTATTGTTTAAATATAATCCAAGTAAATATTAAATTACTAAGTAACTAATTTGCGTGAGCGATTTACAATTTCCGTTTAAATAATCAATATCCTTCTTAGCCAGTGACTATAAATATTGCAAGATGATAAAATGACGAATGCAGATAAAAAATGTCGAATTTAAATACTAAATAATGTGTTAATTCATCTATTGTAGCTACCTATACGTCTTCGACATATTTTTTTGAGATAGTATTTTAGACATATTATGCAATATACGTAATAATTTCGTAGTTTAGGACCTATTTCAAGCAATCGCGTAAGACCCAAAAACATTTAACATAGACACGTTAGAACTCAAATCTAATTAGCATACTTTTGGCAAAATCCTAAAATAAATATTGTTCATTCTAAATAGTCTAGACCTAGACTTCTGACCGTTTAGCACGCGCAAAAATTCCAGACTCGTGTCTTATAACTGACAATACCGTAGTTTCAACTAATGAAGATCAATATAATTATTTTTAAAAATGACCATAATATATTTTTTGTTTTCTCAGATTTGTATGAAATGGCAACAAAACTATGACGTCATAAAGTTTTGACGTCAAATTTCAAACTTATTTCTGAAAAAACCATACAAATAATATTGATTTTAGGTAAGATAAGGTTTACCTGAGAAATAATTATGTTGCTGTCGCGTCAGAATGTTTTTATAAGACAGTGACAGCAACAATTTTATTCTTCAGTTAATATTTGACTAACTATTGAAAAATCAGCCCTAAGTGAACTGTCAAATCAATTTTTTTACCGCTAGGCGCCAACTGCTACTCTCGACCCGAAACCCCTTGCTTCCGTTAGGCAGTCCCGCTTGCGACCACTCAACCAATTACTACCACATATCAGTCCACCAGGTACAATATAGGCTATAAAACATCATGCAATAACTTCCATGAGCAGAGCAGCAGGTAAAACCGCGAGGGAATAGCTAGTAAGTAATAAAATATACTCACACAACTGACAATACGGATAGGATGCCCCCATATAGATGGTAGTGTACTAGTGAAGTGGTCCCCTGCCGTATCGACGACTTCTGGCAGCGCTGCCCTGGGTATCTTCAGCATGGTCATGGCCCATCCAGCCCACTGCATGGTGAATGGGTCGTAAAAACCAGTGGCAGATGCCGACGACACGTCCGTCATGTGAACCTTGCCACCTGTTTTAAATAATCGATATTTTTACGCTATGCGACAATAATGAAAGTACCTACATGTTAAACAATTATTAGGTACACGAACTCTTGGGTTAATTTCTTTTTTTTATGTGATTGGACGGCTGACGGATTACCGTATGGTTAGCAATCAGCGTCGCCCATAGACGCCGGCAATAACGCAGGAGTTACGAGTGCGTTGCCGACCTTTTGGCATTAGGGTTTTGCAGATATAGGGATTGGGTGAGGGAAATTGGGCCTTCAGTAACCCCACTCACAAGGTGAAACACAACGCAACGAAAAAAAACTACTTTTTCACGCAGGTTTTGTAAAGCCGTGGTATTACCACGGTCGAGCTGACCTATTCGTGCCAAACCATGGCTCACCCATACCTAGTAATTTTCTAAGAAAGAATTAAGACTTATATGATGATGTCATGAAGTTCCAAAAACGTATTTCGTCAGTAAGCAGGCACATTATTTTATGTTACAAATTAGCGATACTCAAAATAATATATCGAAATTTAAATGTTCCGAACAATCATAAAAGCATTATCACAACGAGTAGTAAAAACTCGATCCCTTGTTTTTCCATTACCTTGTGTATAGGTTAATGTGCTGTTTGTGAATGCTGTATAATTACCTGTCAATTTGTATAATAGCCACGTGTCTAAGGTTCCGAAGAGAGCGTCGTCTTCTTGCACGGCATTCTTGAAGGCAGCTATGTTGTGGAACGCCCAGTTTAGTCGTAAACATGTCTGAAAAATAATTACTATGAAAATGGCTATAAACACTTAACATTATTCATCGTTTCTATCAGTTTTTTTTTTTCATTTCAAGCTTCTTATCTATTTGAAATTAACTGAAGGTCTGCAAAACATCGAATAAACCTAGCAAAGGTTCCCACCTAGCCAAGTTCAATAACGATAATCGTTATTGCTATAAGTACCTACATTTATTTTGTGGTCATCAATTAGCCACGTGGTCAGTAGGTAAATTAATTTCCTTACATTTGGAACTTTTCTTAAGCAATAATGGTTATCGAAAGTAGACTAGGCAAGAGAAAATACATATCAATATTTAACGGTTGAGTGAATAGATGAAGAATTTGTAAGAATAGGTCTTAATACACAAGAAAAACAAGTTAAACATAAATGGCCTTTAAAAAAAATAATTTAGTGCAGTGTTGAGGTTAATCACATCGTAATAAAATTATAAATGGAATTCAATAAGTCGGGTATTACTCCCAAAACTATGTTTGGCAAAACTCATCATTAAACTAAATCGAAACCTGCCTCCGGTATGGACGCGAAAATTCACATGCAAATATCAATCACTTGGCTGAAGGTATAAGAATAAAATGAGGATTAACGAACAAAGAAAAGGTCGCATTTATGCATGCATTTTGTGCATGTACACTACATATTATGTATGCAGGTGCACATACCTACGCCAGTTGAGTACATGCATAAGACTTAGTGTAAAAACATTGACTGGATAGATTTTGAAGTACTTGTAATTTATATGCATTTAATTCATTAAACCCTAAGCGAACGCCGGTATTCGCGCACCTATTGTTCTTCTATTGTGTCTCGTATAACCACGATTTTAAGGTTAAATATTATCTAAGTAGTATGTACTACTGGTTGACTATTATATCACAAAATTGAAGCCAAATGTAGTGTATCTACGATCTTTGACCTTTTCATTGCGAGTCAGAGTCGTGGGCGTATACGGACGCCGCCGGCGCTCTAAATGCCGATGCCTCTAAGATTCGATGCACCATCAGTTCTCAGCAGTACTTAAGTTTATTAATAAACCAATTTGATTTAGTACGCTTTGTCACTTAATGCCTAATGATTTACTGTTACACAAATAAATTCACCATTGTGTAAACTCGACAAAATCGAGTCCTGCATGAACCCATATTACATATATTTAAATCATATAAAGTAATGCTTGACTGCAATCCCACCTGATGGTAAGCAGTGATGCAATCGATGACGGTAAGACGCACTAGTTTATTAAGAGCCTATTCAATCTACCTTAGAAGACACCTAAATTATAACTGGACGGGAAGACCCGTTTGATACCCGAATCCGATGAAATTCTTTTGACTTAAACTTTATCGAAAATTTCTCGATGTCCGAAAAAGGGAACTGTGCGCAGGGTGTGCGTTCTTTCCTTCTTAGGGGATTAAAATATGTTATGTAGGTATATATATTACTGTAAAAAGAATCAAGTGTGGAAGAGTCATGCTTCGGAACGAATGCGCCGCCGGCGTCGGCTCGACTGGAGTCAAAAAAGTCTTTAAATCCCTAATAACGGTCAATAGGCCGACAACGCACTTTTAACTTTATCAGGCAATCCGTTGGTAATTTGCTAACATAATATGCCATAAAAATGCCAAACAGAATCAGTTAAAGATCGATTCTATTGCGTAGGTCTATTGTTTATCATCAAATCAATTCGATCTATAAATATAAGTTACAGTGTAAATAAATAAAAAGGAATCAACAATGTATCACCACGTTTCCGACAAGAATGCGTCTATATTTAGAACTGTACTCGACGACAGCCAGGACGTTAGTGTATCTAGATTATTGCCGGTAGCTATACCTACGTAGGTACTAACCAACCAATTTGATGATATTATATGCATAAGTATGGTGTTTGTTGATTTGATTAAATATGTACTAGATTACGGCTTAGTGCAAATCTATTAAATTTTGTTATGAAGCTAAATTTTATTACCTACTTTTATTGATCAGAAAAATGCATTTTTATAAAATAATAATATAGGTAATAATTAAATCCTTTATTCAATACTTTTTGGAAATGTCAAAAGTGACTAATATCTAAGAATTTTGTATGAAATAGCACGTTGCGACGTCATACTTTTTTACGTCAAACAGCACAATTATTTCTCTTGAATCAGATCCTTATTTTAAAAAATACGAATAAGTATATTTCTTTACCTATGAAATTGCCGTTTTGCATGAAAAAATTTAAACGAATTTTTTGATTTGAAATGCGATGAAAATGTAACACTAATCAATAAACAAATGACTACTTTTGGAAAAAGAATCCCATGTTTTTAAAACAAAATTACCCTAATTAGACATAGCCTAACAAAAACTATTTTGATTTGAAATGGCCAGTACTGCAGAACGGCAATTTCATAGGTAAAGACCTATTATTTTAAATTTAATAAATGAAGGTGTGTAATTTTTAAGTACAAAATATCTTTTTAGGGTTTTATTAGTTGATTTTTTTTAATACACTACCAAATTTACAAGCATAATCATAAACCAAAGAAGAAAATAATAATCGTATTTATTTTACATATTAATCAATACACTACACTCGTGGGCGTATAGCTACTACATTATTAAGATTGATCGAGCGATTATGGATCGTTAAATCATAAACAATGCGTCATTGCTCTTGCGCAGGTAAATGATTAATATAACGTAACACCACGCCTTTTAATTCAAAATCGACAGAAGTACCTACGTATCTATACTAATCTATACTAATATTATAAAGCTGTAGAGTTTGTTTGTTTGTTTGAACGCGCTAATCTGCGGAACTACTGGTTCGAATTGAACAATTATTTTTTGTTTGTTAGTCCATTTATCGTGGAAAGCTATAGGCTATAAAATATCACGCTACAATCTGTAGGAGCCGAGCAGCAGGTGAAACCGCGTGAGAGCAGCTAGTTTATACTTATATATAATATTATGTAAAGCAGTAGAGTTTGTTTCTTTGCTTGATGGCGCTAATGTTCGGAACTACACGTTCGAATGGAACAGTTATGTGTTAGTTAGTCAATTTACTGTTGAAGGTTTTATAGTCTATAAAACATCACGGTACAGTCTGTAGGAGCCGAACACTGATATTAAAAAGGGTTTGTTTGAACGCCTTTATCGGCGATACTGATTCGAAGTGAACAATTATTTTTGTAGAGGATATTCGTATTTATCGAAGACGGCTAAAAAGTGTCACAAGCCAAACAACGGATGAAATCGCGCGGGAATAGCCTGTTAAAAATAAATGGAACAAGTGCAAAGTGATAATTTTTAAGCCCATACATATTTACTAAGGCCATATATATTAAATGACATACACTGGCCATGATTCCAAACTTCACTGTGTTATTAGAGTTTAAAAATATCAATTATATATCCAAAAGTCGTTTGCCCAACCGAATCGAATTCGATAGAAATGGCCCGCTTTACTCCCTCGCCAAGGACGCAATAATACTAATATCCTAGTTCCTAATATCTTATCCTACTAATATTATAAATCCTACTAGGCTACTCTATATATTAGGTCTTTACCTACGAAATGCCGTTTTGCATGAAAAAATTAAAACTAAGTTTTTTTATGTATTTTTTATTTGTATTAATCGAAGTAATCACCCATGCAATCAATGCATCTTTGCCAACGTGGTGGCAGTTTATTAAAGAAATCAGCTGGACGGGAAGCAACAAATTCTTCAAAGGCATTTTGTACTGCCTCTCGGGTATTGACTTTTTCCCCGCCAAGAAGTTATCCAAATTCTGGAAAAAGTGGTAGTCTGTAGGCGCAAGGTCTGGTGAGTAGGGTGGATGACGGAAAACTTCCAACCCCAGGTCTTGCAACTTGGAGACCGTCTGTTGTGCAGTATGAGGTCGCGCGTTGTCGTGCAGGAGCAGTGGAGAAGAGCGATTGACCAATGCTGGTTGGAAATGTGCCAGCTTCTCCATCATTGTGTTCAATTCTTCACAGTATACATCTGCAGTAATGATCATCCCGTTCGGCAAGAAGCTGTAATAAATCACCCCGGCGCTAGACCACCAAACAGTGCCCATCACTTTTCTAGGGGTAAGTTTTCGTTTAGGACATTGCTTAGGTGCTGAACCAGGATCCAACCACCTTGCTGAGCGCTTGCGGTTATCAAACAGAATCCATTTTTCATCGCAGGTAAAAATTCGGTTCAAAACTCCTTCATTTGTGTGTCTGTTGAGCAGTGCAGGGCACGTCTCGACGCGTACTTCGCGCAGGCGATCATTGAGTTCGTGGGGCCCCCATTTGTCAAGTTTTTTTACCTTGCCAATTTGACCCAAATGGACCAATATTGTTTTGACGCTAACGTCGAAAGCTGCTGCTAATTCAGCCGTAGGTTGTGTATCATCAGCTTCCACAATCGCCTTTAATTCGTCATTGTCAACCGAAGTCTTCGGACGACCGCGAGGTTCATTTTTCAAGTCGATATTCCCAGAACGGAAGCGAATACTAATAACAGTTGGTGCGTTGGTTTGTAGTGTTAGCTCCGTAAACGTCGTTGATGTTGCGTGCCGCTTGTGCCGCGTTGCTGCCACGACGAAACTCATATTCCATAATTACTCGAATTTTTAACGTATCCATGATGGCGAAACAGATTGAAATGCGATGAAAATGTAACACTAATCAATAAACAAATGACTAGTTTTGGAAAAAGAATCCCATGTTTTTAAAACAAAATTAATTTGAAATTAGAATTCTTAGCCAAACAAAAACTATTTTGATTTGAAATGGCCAGTACTGCAGAACGGCAATTTCATAGGTAAAGACCTAATATATGTATGTATAAAAGAAAGTCGTGTTAGTTACACTTACACTTATAACTCAAGAACGGCTGAACCGATTTGGCTGAAAATTCGTTGGGAGGTAGCTAAGAACTGGGAGAAGGACATAGGTTAGAGTAGGTAGTGTAGGTTAGGTACAGTTGGGTAGGTAGAGTAGGGTAGGGTAGATAGAGTAGGGTACGTAGAGTAGAGTATTTTTTTTTTGAGGGGAAAACCATCAAATAACTTCTCCGTCCCAGGGCGGGAGGGAGTGTCAGACTCTTACTGACTAAAAACCCCGCTGTTCCTTCTCCTGCTCTGGGCCGAGGTCGCGGTGCCGCATTGCGCTTATCCCGTAACCCCGGCTGAACATCAGCCCTTTAGGGCCCCGTCTGTGGTGGTCTATTGGCTCTTTAAGGCGCGCGCGGAACGCTACGCGCCGTACGCTCGGGCCTGGTTCTGGTCGGGCGGCGAGCTGCTTGCCGACCGCAGACCCGCGCTTACGGTGGCAGGGGCGTGAGAAGGAGGATTGCTCCCTCACGCGGGCCGCCTCCCTCTTTGCGAGCATAACTGCTTCACAGAAGGAGGAGACGGCGTCCCAGTTCCTCTCATTTCGCACCATAGCCTCGACTAAGGCCGGGCGCGAGAGCTCACCGCCGACGTAGAGTAGGGTGGGGTAGGTATAGTAGGGTAGGTTGAAATGACGGGAGCGACGCCGCGGATAAGAACTAGTAATATTTTAAATGTGTAAGTTTGAGATAATGGATGGATGTATGTTTGTTATACTTTCGCGGAAAAACGGCTGGACGGGTTTGGTTGAAATTTGTAAAGTAAGGTAATCTTTATTGTGTTGGTTACGCGTGTTGTATATAATGGTATACAGTACAACAATCAGCCCGTTCGGGCATACAATAATCAAAGCCCATTTGGGCAGGTACATTATTATTATATATACAACAAAAAGTAAGCATCCATTTCTTGTCGATTATTTGGCAAGTAAGTATATAAGTGATAACCTAGATAACATAGACTACTTTTTATCATTATACCACTCGGGCGAAGCCGCGGCGGAAGCTTGTTAACCATAAATGTTAATTAATTATGTTTTTTTCTGAATATAATCTTTAAACCCTGTATAAAAACAAAACAAACTTTTTACAAATATCTACATAATCCACGTCAGGTTACAAAGTCTAAATTATTAATGTTATTTTTCTGACTGCAGATTTAATTTTGCGCGTAGATTAATCTGAAGGTCGAATAAAAATATAATCGACCATTGTTTTTTTAACGTTTTGCACTTCCTAATAATACATCATTTCAGTCAATATTTGTATTTAATATAATCATAATTTTAAATATAAATTCCATGTTTAAATTAGCATATCAACGAGTTCAGTGAATTAGGAAATGAAAAAACAGGTTTATTACAAACATTTCCTACTAATACCTACTATCGAATACTAAGGAAACGACACAGATTAAAGATAAAAAAAACTCACCTGAGTATTCATAAATTTGAACACACTTCCTGCTTTGAACCTTTTGCTTCTTAGAATAAGGTACAATATGTAGGCACTTGCTTTGAATAACTAAAAAAATGAACAGTTATTAATTTATTTTAGATACATTACTTACTCATAGACAAAAAAAAAGAATATCTACTATGGTATATGTTTTTTCTGATGGGCTTGTCCATCCACTTAATATTTAAATGTGCCTTAACTTATTTGCCAATGTATTGCTACACATTAAATATTTCGTAATTATGTTTAGTAGCACAAAGTTTGAATATAAGGCTAACTTTCTCTTTATAGGATAAGACAAATCTATTGGAATAAAAATGGACAATTAAGTATGTACAGTGTACACCCTTAACTGTTGAATGACTACACAATATTATGTGGCACAGTTGACGCGGTGGCTGGACTGGGTGCAGCGCAAAGTGTCGTGGGTATTCTTTTTTTTTTAATTGTTGCCGTGAACCAGGTCTACAAACATACAATTTCACAAACACACCACATCCAGATTAGGAACAACAATTCTAGATCACACAACGAGTTAATCCATGCGAGAATCGAACCCGCGTGGCAGCCAGTTGCCTAGCCACAGCGCCAACCGTGCACTCGATTCGGGTTCAATCCCCGATTGTTTAAGCCACAAATAGTTGTTGTGGGTCTGTTTTCGATTGTCTGGGTGTAATGTGTATGTTTGTAAACACACCCAGAACACAAGATAGAATCGTAATGTCAGTAATGTTTCAAAAAATCTGTCCCCTTCATATTGGATTGTTCATGTGTAGGGGTGTTTTGTGTGGCCAATAATGGTTAAGTAATATTTGCCATTCATATCAAACTGAAATGTATAAGATATACTACAACAGTATATATTTTATACATCACACCAAAAGGCAACCTTGGGTTGAGATTCAACAATTTCTTTTATAATAAAAGATACTCATGTTAATGGACCTTCTCAAAATCAATACAATAAAGGTAATAAAGTATTCTGTAAAATATACCTTCCATACATATGAAGCATTCCACTGTTTGACTAATCTGTCAGCTCGTAAATCTTTCCATGTAATAAACTTGTGAAATGGTTTGCCAGTTTTGCGAGACCAGTTTATAAATGTACCTCTTTGGGTGGTGATACCCATAGCGGTCATCTGCCCCGCTGTTAATTGGGCATCTGTGAACAATATTTTATATTTTACAAAAAAAATCATGCACAACATGTATTCCTCAACTCTTGGACAGTGAATGAGAGACTTAGTTCTATAGAAGTGTGGCTATTAATAATTTTGATAGACACATTATTAAATAATTAATTCAATAAAAGTTTATTCATGAGAGTAGGCTGTTCAAATGGAGCATGATTGTTTTTTAGTTCTAATAACAATAATGTGGTAACTCTGTTCTGTAATAGCACATATATTATTTAATCTCAATGGATATATCTACAAATTTATTGAAGGCCAGTTTTAAGTTAATACCATTATAAATAGCTAAAAATAGTTTGCAATTGAAGCCTTAGATTTTATTTAAATTCATTGAAATACCCTTTCTTACATTGATGTTTTTAATGGTGAAAATAGAGAAATAGTTTTAATTATTTTGATTGATAATTTAACTGCTATAATGAGGGATTTATCATAATTATGATACCATTTTAATTGTAAACAACAGCTATTGGACAAGACCTTCGTTGTTCTCATTGCTATGCATTAAGTGATAACATATCTTATCATGTGTTTTATTTAGGAACTAGAACAACAGTACAGAACCATTCATTTATTTGTGTTAATAGCTATCAATGAGAATGAAGTATTGACATGTTCCACCTTGGTAAGCGGATCAAATCTCAACTGACAAGTATATGCTGAAGCGGAGTTTTGTTAAAAAAAATATTTATAAATATGCAATTTAAAATTACTCACCCTTTAATGATATATTTACTACACCAACCACAGAGGTCCACAGTTCATCCGGGTCTATTTCAACGAAACCAGGATGTGGATAATGTAATACCACCTAATTAAAGTAAAAAAATATAATTCACTTATTGCACTTAATTTGCCATTAAAAAATTATAAACACAAATTTATTCTATAGATAAACTGTTTTAAAATATATAAAATCTAATATTTGTTATTAGTTACGAGTTTAAACCATTTTTTATTTTAATATACCTGATCAACCGCTCTTCCCACTATTTCAGCTCTAGTATTATAAATAAAAGAGCGAATAGTGCTGGTGCCTATGTCTAAAGTTAAAATATATTTTTCTTCCATGGTTCCTTAAACACTCCGACCTTTATGAAACTAATTTAATTAGAAAATATTAAATTAATAGTATCGCAAACGTATTGTATTCGTCCGCACTCATTTCTATTTGAAAAAATACAATACAATTGAATTGACTTTACGAAGACGGTCAACAAATGTCAATGTCAATTTGTCAGTGTCGGTCAAAATCAAAACGATCGGTTTCACGCAATATTACAGAATTTAATATTTTTAAAGTAAGATTTAAAAAATATATTGTAATCAATCCCGTTTTTTATTTTACTCCAAAAATTCTATTGGTTTAAGACATTCTGGGGCTTAAATCATCTACCGTACTTATATTTGAAGCAATGATTCCAGATAGTATTGTTGCAAGCAATCTATTGCAGCGAAATGCAGAAAAAAACAATATGAAGTCGTTTTAGTTATTTAAAACAAACAAGTGATCATACATATACCTGAAACTAAAATAAATTTATTTACTATTTTGATACTTACGCATACGCAATACTTTTAGCAGGGAGACAGAAGTATGAAAATAATTATTAATCGAATTAGTAATTATAATTACTCTTAATATAATCGACTAGGTTACTAATGGCTTTGGGCATGCCTATATTTTTATGAAATGGCAACACAAGTCTGTGGCTGACAGTCAAGCGCGTTTTGGATCTTTGAACGCTAAAAATTGTGATGTAAAAACGAGAAAAATAAATGTTTACTGGCCATCATGGCGAATCCACGGAAATTTAGTGAGAAAATTGCCCTCCATCATCAAAAACAGGCAGAGGAAACAGCTGCTTTTGAACAGATTATGCGCGAAGTTTCCGACGCAACCCAAAGGGTATGTCGCCTATTTACTCAGGCAGTCGCTTCCTGGCCGTCAAATGTGCCCGCCGACGTAAACAATAATCCATTACAAAATAGTTATTGCGCCTAAACAACAAAGTGAACATATTTTTTTATTTATGTCAATAGCAAAATACCACTCAGTTCTGTGTGTATAGTTACAATTGTCATTGTCAAAATGAATTGTAAGTCTATTTGGTGTCCTACACAATAGCTAGTTAGAATATTATGAGTGTTTCATCTCCTAATGAAACTAAGGAAACATGAAGTCTGATTTATTAATCATAACTGATAACAATAGTTGCTTGCCAGTGAAATAAATTGAAATCAAATCTAGATACACACATATTGAGACTAACAATGTTTTGTTATAATCATAGAGTTGATTATTTACAGTTGAAACTCCACATAATTGAAGTATGTGTAAATTATAGGATTTTTTCATTAACAAACAGGTTGTCAAGTATTAGAATACAGTAAAAAGATGTTCAGGCATCCTGATTGCAGGTAAATTCAAGTAAAGTAGCCAGAGTCAAACCGCCCCCCGAGCCTAGTGATAATGTTGAGTCGTCACTCCGGCCCACTCAGCAGGGCTTGGGCACATACCGCAGTGGCTCCCTGCCAAATGTGGCTGCACCACAAGCTACCGCCATTGAGCTGGAAACAATTAAGGTTCCTTTGTTTTGGAATCTGATCTTTAAAATCCCTAATAGCGTAAATCTACCATTTTATGACCTTGCAGGTAGTTAAAAACTAAGAACATTTAAAAGGCATTCTATTTGTATTTTGCAATCAAAGAATAACTTTTTCATTGTTTTGTAATATTGATAAGTGATAATTACCTGTTAGGTCTTGATGGCCTCTGTAATTTATGGTAGAATTTGCTATGTATACCTTCTTTTGTTCGGTAGTGGTGCAGTTGTAGCTGGCTGAAATGATTTTCTATTATTTTTCTTAAAGTTGTGTTTCATTTGATATAGATTTGTACGCAGTTTTTTTTTCACATATTTAAAAAAATAACAGCTGTTTAAGATGATGAATCAATAAATAAATGAAAGAATCTCATGAAGTAAATAGGTGTTAATTGCTTTATCACCTTGTAAAAACTTACTTGAATATTGATAAATATAATCAAATGCCTGTAACAATAAACAAAGTGTGTAGAGTAACTCTTGTTAACAGAAAACTGTGTTGAACTCATATTTACATTATAACATGTGTTTTAATAAGTTTTCTTGTTCACAAACTTAACACCGTCATCTGTTCACTAGAATACCATAAACAGGTTTAACTATTAATGTTATATTTTATTACAATGTCCTACATTTTTTTAGCATTTAAATGCAAAGTTTTTTTTATTGCCTTTAACTTTATTGCTGTAGAAATAACAAATTTAATTGTGCCCTGATATTGATTATTTTGCAGACAATAAATAAAATAAAAAAAGAAATTAGAGAAATAGCATGTTGCATCCTTGTAAAATAGTCCTTATACCTACTGAAATTAGTGCAAAGGTAGTTAATTTATTTAATTTTAATAATCCCTGCCTTTAGAAGTAGTGAAAAATGAATTTATTTGCCATGCTAATTAATACTTCCATCACATATTAGAAAAATGTATGTAATTAAATATAAAGTTAATGTACTAGATGTTGTGCACTGTGTAGTATTTTGCATATTAAATGTATGAGTAAATTATAGAATGATTAATAATAGTAGGTTAAACATACATTGCATTACACACATTCAATTGGATATTACTTCTCAAAAATAAGTTTATAGGGAAAAGTAATTTATAAAGGACAACATCGAGTTGTTGGTATTTCCCGCCAAACAAGCTAAACCGGTGCCTTACACGCGACTTTAGTTGGCGGGAAAAGCCAGCCATAACCATTCCTGGTTGAGTTTATGTTAGTAACATTTTGTTGTCTATTTGTCCTAGCCGGAGGAATTACCGTTATCGAACCAGTATGCTATGGCCGGGGGTCGCAGCGGCGGCACGTCGCCGTCGCGCTCGCCGGCGGGGCAGCGGGGCCGCGCCTCCTCTTCAGTGGGCCCAATGCGGCGCCCAGCCGACAGAAAACACGACACCAGCCCTTATGGCAGCACCGTATACTTGAGGTAAACCAGTTTGGCATTGAAAAAACCTGATGACGAACGATGCTGGTCAATACCTACCTAGGTATCAAGTTAATTGACCGGTTAACTTAGCAGGAAGTTTTCGCGCCAACTCACAAACGAAGTATCGCAAACCGGCATTATGAATAAAATCTTTCGGACGTGTTCAGAAATTGATATCACATCATTATTATGAACCAGCTCGTAACCGTAGTGACGTAGGTTGAAACTTGTCTTCGTGTACAAAAAAAAATTAGTATCCATTACGACACACACTAAATAAGTACTTGCTGTATTTTTTTGTTATTATCATCATACAATAAACACATAATGAAGGCACATGTTTAAAAAAATATTCAAGCAACGTAATGTCATAGATACAATACAACAAAGGTACAATCCTGCACTATATCTTCGGAGGTTACAACAATTAAATCAGTCGCTAACTATACTCCTTGCTTACGTCACTTCTTTAATCACGGCAGTTATGCTGAATTATTATCTAAAATATGAGGCGCAAGAAGCCCGCCGACGCTGACGTACAATTTATTCCAATTTAAACTATACGAACGTGTTGATAATTATTATTAATTACAAACTTCACGAGGTATAATGTGATTCATTTAAGTACATGTCATTTTAATTCAAGTTTGTTCCACGAAACCTCATTCATGTATAATAATAATAATTGTTTAATAGAAGAAAGATCAAGAAACAACTCTTAATATATGCGAACATAATGATCTTGTACGCTTCTGCGAAACGAAAAATAATTTCGAAAAAACAAAACTAGTTAGGTTCTCCTTTCTACGAATACGTTTCACCGTCTGCGTATTATATAAACTATGGAACTCGTATAAATATAATTTATTCAGTCTACTTCGATCAACTCGGTCTTGATTTGAAAGGATATGACCGTATGCGCTACAATATATAGATTAAAAAAATCCACTTAATAAAAATTTATAAGTAAACATAACAAAAAAAAAAACTAAAATAATAAAACCGTGGGACTAAGAATCGATTGTTTATTAATCAGTTTGCAACTAAGTATTTTCCTGCTTATATTTATATATATCTGTGAATTCAAGTCGCTGTCTTGGCGATGTTTAAAATATTACGTCACTTCTTGAAATTACAATTCAATTAAAATGCGTAATATTCAATGTCTGTGTGTGGAACTTGTTACGCTGGTTTGTAAACACTCAAATGAAAAATATACGTCGTTATTATAATTTCGGTTTTTGTGGAACTTTGTGTACTTACATAGTTCTCTGCAACAACCCTATGATTACCAAAGTACAATATGGCATGTCACGGCTGTCAGTACATATGTCCTTAAGGTTTTGCACCTGACAAAGACAGTCCACTTTTAAATAAAATTAAAAAACCAAATGACTCAATACTAAGAAAATAATGGTATATATTTATTCAAATGAGAGTTATTACTAGAAGTGACAGAGTACATTGTTGCATGTCCAAAACATCAGTGTAAATTATACTTACGTAATTATTAGGCGATATAAAATAGATAATAACAAGTGACAATATTTTTAGAAAGCGCCTCCGAATTTGAAAAGTAAAAGGTACTCCAGACTATAATCTAACATGGAGGATTGTTAACTGTTAAATCTGTTCAGCTGTTTTTGCCCAAATGAGTAGCAAAAGTTCTTTTCCCTGGTCCCTGGGCGAGAGGGAGTGTCACTCTTATTTACTAAAAACGATCCTGTTTTTTTCTCCAGCTCCATGCTGGGGCCGCTATACACAATTACGGACTGACAAATATGTACTGTACACAATGATGAGTAAAACAATTTTATTATAATTATTGTTTTTCTTTGCAGTCCACCGCCTGATAGTAATTGGCGGCGTACGCATTCAGACTCTGCGCTGCACCAGTCCTGCGGAGAGCAACAGGCGGCGGTACAGCCCCTGTCGCCGCATCGGACTATGCACTCACATGCACACCCACATCTACACCCACACCAGAATCACCGGAGAGGTGCGCAAATTGCATACATTCATATCTATGATTATACGCATTTCGTAATCCTTGGATCAAAGGAATTCAATTCAAAACCTGGCAAGCCATTCGTGAGTCTTAAATGACTATCGATTAAGCAAATCAATGACAATAACTAATAATGAGTCCTGTTTCATGTTTACATGTTCACTTATTTGTATGTTTTCCTATGTTTCTTACAGGTGACATACATTTAGATGTATTATCAGCAATGAATCCCGCAAACCGGCCGCGATCGTCATGTGAAATACCAAGAATACCAAACAATAACAAGTGAGTTGCTATATTTTAACTAGTGTAGTGCTTAATTGGAAGAGGAAAATGTTATTTTATCCCTAAGCTCGGAAACTTGAATGACTTAGAAAAGCCAAGTTGTAATGCACTTAGTTTAGGTATGTGCATTAGTGTAATGGCAATTTGTTTGAACTCCAGTAATATGAGGAATTTACGATGATATTATGATTTTATTTTTGATATGTTTGTGGTGGTGGTAAGTGTACTGTAATAATGAATGTGATCGAATAATGTACGTTTTCTGTTTAGCACGTATGACTGTTTCGACAGCGTGTACGCGAGCGGGGAGGGCGGGGGCGGGCTGGGCGGCGCGCTGGGCTGCGAGCTGTCGGTGCCGGGCGGGTCGCTGCCGGACCTGACGTCGGTGCACTTCCCGGCGCCGCACTACGCCGCGCCGCCGCAGCACGCGCCCCACACGCCGCGCGCCTCGCCCGACTACCAGCCGCGCTATGTACGTCACCACTACCACCCCTCCCACCACGCGCAAGTAAGGCAGGCCCTACGGAACTACTCCGCCGCCCATCTTCATCCCGCCGTGTTTGTGTCTCGTCTGCGAGGGATTCTCTCCTCTATCTGTGTTGCAATAAAACTTCACTTACTGATCGCCGATCCGTCTCGGTCCGTCGAGCGCAGCGATAAGGCCCTCGACTGCATCTCACGTGTTTCGCACGCCGCACTCGCGTGATACTAATAATAGGTTTAGTAAAAGTGATAGTAGCACTCATGTGTGCTGGCGTAAACACGTGTAACTAAGCAAAAATATTAATTAATTAATCGCATGATTAGTGGTTAGTCTCTGAGTTATCTCGTGGCGGCTGGAACATGGCAACGATTTGGAATAAGTAGTTAGCGGTAGAAAGTAGAGTGGTAGGCGTTGAGTGAGTGTGTAGTGCAGTGAGCGTGGTGGTTGCAGTCGCCGACGTCGCCGGGCGCGGTGTCGCCGGGCGGCGGCAGCGTGTCGCCGGCGACGGGCGGGCTGTCGCCGGCGTCGGGCTCGCCCGTCGGCGCCACCGTGCCGCTGCACGCCGCGCCGCACCACGCGCTCGACCACGTCGCGCCGCTCTACGACGCGCAGGTCGGTGTCGCGCACTCGCTGCACTATCATTATATAAACTAAATATTCAAAATCTATTCATTAAATACATCTAGTTGCTCGAATTCGTTGTTGCATATCAAATGCCAATGTAATTGTAATAGGATTTAAATAATGATTATTAAGTATTTATAGATACGCTGTCCCGCGAATAATTTTGTATCTAGAAATAAACCGATTTATTACTGCGATATCCTAAGTTAGACCGAACATCGTTACCTCGGCCCACGTGACTCATAATGAACGCCGCGAAAATCATACAATAATCAATTTACATTACAAACCAAATCTGTCTGCTATTAAAAAACGATTGCAGTCTCGGTTGTTGGGGCATTACTATGCAAGAATTTATGAATCAATCTAAGTAACGAGTATTGTTTATCGAAAATGGCGTGTGGTTACGCTGCCAGAATGGTAGCTGCGGAACATTATGTAGACCTATAGACCTACGCTACTGGGCGTTAGCGCCGGTAGTGCTGTGTACAGTAGCTCTAACACTGGCTTGGAGAACATTAACACGTGGCTCACAAACACCTGTGACCACACACTTAGGTACTTTTAACATTTTTGTTGTTTTTGTTATGTTTGTGTTTATTTGCTTTCTACACAAATCATTTTTTGTTTATTTCAGAATCACTTATCTGTACCAAACACAAATAATTATCTTCATCATAATAAGGTTCGTTTTCTTTTTTAACCTCCTCTTAAATTTTATTCCCGCTCATACTTTACAGGCGGTCGCTTGAATGCTTTGAAACGCTGTCTATTGTTGGTGGCAATATTTTTGATTATCTATAACAGAGCTGGGTCTCGCTAATATCCTACATTTTATCTATGTCTGTGACATTCATTCTATATCTCGTCTTGTTCATACATCACATGGGTGCTTCGTGCATGGAACGTTATAAATTGTGTTCAGCTAAACATGTACTCGTACACTAATACATTTCGAAGCAATATATTGCTTATTTCGGCACCTCCGCACTAAACGACACCGATTTCCTTCGTTTCCTTTTACCATTATATATTTCAAACGCACCTATTTTATTTATACATTTGTATTTATAGGACTACTAATCAATTTTAAGTGTCTTGTTTATTTAAACGGTTTCAAAAGTTGATTGTATATTGGACAATTACGACACGGCCACGCTGTTGTTGGCGTCACAAAAAACGAATAGCGGAATAGTTAATCATAAATAAATATTTATACAAATAAAGGTCGTCACTCGTCTCATTGGTGTATTAGCTAATATGAGGTCATAGGTATACAAGAGTATTGTTGGGGTACATAACGTGGAATGCCAGCTGTCGACTCGATGACGCTAATTTCGTTTAATAAGGATGCTACATTGTATTGCTATGTCAAATTCAAATAATGAGTGACGACCCTAATTTCACATTTGCTTCAACCACTTGTGTTGTTCTAACTTTGCAATGCAACAGCTGCACGTGGCAAATATTTCTATCATCCATTAATGTTCCTATGACATCGATGACTAAGTACATCAAAATTAATTAATTAATACTAACTTTTACTAACATTGGTTTATTACTAATGATAAATAGTCTACCACAGGAGTTATATTATTATATTTTACGTAAGCTTGCTGACTCAAAATTTAAATTATATTTATATTACCAATTGGCATGACTACTTGTATATATTTTACAGCAGTTCTCAGTGTTTATGGATATATTTTTCTGGTTTATATTGATGAGAATGTGGTCCTTTCTTTAACATGTTTAACACCAAGAGAACAACGTCGAGAAGTCACCAGCCATCTACCGGCAGTCAATACCTTAAGAAACAATAAAAACGATAATAAATTGATTTAATTTATTGCTTACATTAGCTTGTCTATTTAAAGAATCGACCACATACAGCTGTAAGATTGTTTTGTTTGCCATTTTGACAAATCTACATAATGGTTTACTTCGTTTTTAATTTTATACTAGCTTCTACATAATTAATTCGGTCCTAACTGCATGAACAAATTGGCTTCTGGCTAAAAACAGTGTGATACAACATATTGTATTATTCTACGAATTAAGCATTGGCAGCGTTTTGGTGCCCATAATAGAAAAAATATGAATGCGTGGAACTTTCGCCAAGTTTATAACTACTTATCTAAAATGTAATCTCGTCTATCATCTGCAACGAAAGTTGAATGGAATAATATCATAGTTTTCCATTAATTTCTGCATAATGAATAAAATTATCATCTCATTATAATATAATTTGTTTTGTATTTCAATAAACAAAATGACGTGTACCAAACTGCCAAAGCTCCAATTTAAATTAAAACCAGCCAGTATTTTACAATTTTTTTTTTAATTCTAATCACACTGTTTTGGTATAAAAACTTTTTCGAAAAAGTGTTTTAGTTGAGTAAAGTGCTTGTTTCGGCTGTTTACAGAACATGTCGCCTCTAGACCACGGCTGGATACCGTCCGGATACCAGACGCACTGTAGTCCGCCCTCACAATATTCCTCTACGTCGAACATAAACATACCTTCACCAACGGTACAGTATACGTGTATTTTACTTTCAAATAAAATAACCAGTTTTATTTTCTTTGTTTATTACTGAACAAAAGAGGTTGTGTAAGGCGCATTACCTTCGATCTTATCTTTGAAATCTGAATTTGCGTACGTTTTACCTCTTTACTTTGATAATAGACTTTTTAGCCATTGTCTTTCGATTCCATGTTGTTATTAATATAAGTCGCCGTAAATTTTCAGATGGTGCACAGTCCAGGTAGTCCTGTGGAGTCCCCACAGACGGATTACAACAACTTACACCAAGCGTTGTTACAACCTTTCGAGCAAATCACAATGGTGAGTGAAACTGACACACGTTCTTATATCAAACTAGTTTCCGTACGTGACGTATTTAATATTAATATTCAAGGTCACAGTTGAACAGTTATGAATAAGTCAATCATTTAACGCTGGCTACTAATAATTCTATTTAATTACACGCGTGACTTGCGGTACCATAATCGGTTGACCTTGACCCCTGTGTCGCGAGTAAGAAAAACTTCTACCCTAAATGTTATCGTGGAAGGAAATTACTGATCGTCGTACTATGTATTATCATTCACTTAACATTACTTCTGATTTACTATAAAGTAGTCTGCAGAAGTGTCATGTAGTCACGCATTGTTCTCAATTCTCATATCATTATACATTATTCATAACTTAAAATATAATACAAATAAAAAATAAACTATGCAGTAGACTTATGTAGACGAAAATATTAACAAAACTATTCGATTTAATTAATCAAACAGAAGTAGCATTTGCGTCATTTGATTTTTTACAATTTAGAATATAAATGAAATAAAAATAAATTATTTTTAATTACTCGATAGTACTTAAAACTTGTTTTGTTACTCGCCCTTGTTACGTATATAACGTAACTTTTTAAATAACAATAATATCACTTTATTTATACTTATGCTTCAATGGAACAGCAAGGAATTGTAAGTAAATAAAAAAATATGCAATTGAAATGTTATGTTAAACACACTGGTATATATTATATATCTATCATTATCTGAGATGTAGCTCCAAGTTACAAAAGAGGTTTATTGAGACTAGAATAATTTTGGCACATTGAAAACGAATAAAGTATTTAAAACGCACACTTATATAATATAAAGCTGCACATCATCAGTCATTAAATTAAAGCCAGCACATAGAATATATACATAATGCGATATACATATATAAAAAAAGATTAATATATACACAGGTGCATGATACTAGTTTCGAATGTACGTTTATTACGCCCCGAAACTAGTACCATTTGTTGAACCTGATGCTGTAATAAAAATAGCAACGGTAAAGTTACTGTCTGTCAAATAAATGTATTAATTATCATAAATCGTTAACATTCTTAGTACCTACGTATGCGATCCTAAGTAGTTATGACTACAGTCTACATGTTGGTAAATTATTTATTTCCACGTCACAACAGGTTTATCTGCATTCTAAAGAAAAGAATTGGCGTTATAAAAATGTTATTGTTGTAAGTTCAAAACATTTCTTATATATCTAAAGCTAAAATATCAATGCTTCGTAGGATGCTATATCGATAATACAGGTTTTACGAGTATTTACGCCGCCATATAAATCAATATTTTATATGGATACTAAACGCAAAATAAAAACTTTTAAATAAACATCATTTGCGATTATATTATTCATAAAGTGTTCTTCATAAGTTAAAAAGCAGAAACCTGTTTTCATAAAAGTACTGCGGAAAGCGATATCTTAATCTTTTAAAGTGAGACAAACTGGGCGTGTATATTATTAATAATAATATATCACCGTTATAAATAATCTAAAAGACAATGTTATCTCAGTTACCGCATACTTATCAAATGTGCGCAAGTAAAACGTATTTTTTCGTACTATATCTAATCTATAAATCCAATTGATTTAACCTACACGAAGAACTGATTGTTTATTGTTTTTCTTAGTGTTACCGCAAACAAAAACCCTTTTCATATTTCGTGCCTTGTCGCCAGTAGTCATAAGTACAAAAAATACTGTATGCACTAATTTAGTCGATTAAGACATGCTTGACGTTTTGCAGTATTTTAAAGATAAAATTGAGATTGATTTAAATGATAAACTGACAGTAATTAATTAAAGACTTAAACAGTCTTAAATATATCATATTAGTCTCATTAATTACAAAAAGTCCGCAATACAGATAAAATATCCGCAAAATACATGTAGAAGCGAAAGTGATATGATAATAAGTCAGAGATTATATATTTTTTGCAAAAGCAACTCAAAAACGTAACCTTGAAAAATAGCAATAAAAATACCGTTATTTTATTCAGGTCGCTGAGACCTAGATAATAAAAAATAAAATATTTCACATAAAATAATATTTGACAGATTGTAACTAAATAAGTGTGCTAGTGTGTAATATGTGTAATATTGGTGGATGTTGGCCAAGGATTGGGCGCAGCTGGTGCAGAGCCTCGTGGAGTCAGGCTGGACCGCGCACGTCCAAGTGGCGGAAAATGTACGACACTACCCCCTCACGCATTCATAGTGACGTTCTTACGTGATGGGTGCGCAATTTTAACGCACATCCTATAAAACTAATCTCTATAACGAAAAATATTTTTTACTTTATAAAAATATACAAAATTATTTTCCTTTCAAATAAAATATTTGACCTGCAATAAAATCGTTCACCCCTCACTAATTCAATATTGAGTTATTTTTAAGTGTCGTAACACTTATTCCCACAGATTATATTATTAGCGCACGTATATTTATACGAGTTTAGCCTTTAAAATAAGCTGGAGCTCTAATCACGTTTCATTTTTTTTATAGTTATCAAAGGAAATGGACAGATTTTCCAAAATTAGTTCTAATTAAATGTTCTTATCTTAAGAGTGAGAGAGAAAGTTTATTTTGTTTGTGTAAGTGAAAAAGTAAAGAATAACATGAGAACCTGTTCATTTCTTCTATTTAAACTTCTGAATAGTACTATTCGCTAATTAACTTGTAATTCATTTATTGCAAAAGTAATAAAGAAAACATCAAATTACAGTGCATTATTAATTATAGTACTATTGGGACGAAATTATTTTATTTTGCATATTTTTTTCCTAAAATGTTAAATTGAAAGTTATAGGCATGCTCTACAACTTGATTTTGCAAGTAAACAGTAGTTATTTATTGTAAGAGAGAATCTAGTCGGTAAATGGTATTTTTATTTGGATAGCCTTATAGTAAAAGTTGTTTCGGTATGGTAATTACATTATTTTGTAATAAAAAAGGTATCAATCATTATGTATTGACATGAGCATGATTACCGCACTCTAATCGTGCCAGATACATTCATAAGCATAATGTGTACACGCTATAAAAATACTTGCATACAACTCAATAATTATTCAGTTTTGCTTGTATCTATATCTATCTATTAGCCATAAACACCATTATGCTTGTGATAAATTAGTAAGTACATATACATACTTATAATTTTAAATAGTTATTATTTTAAAAGACCTTATTTGTAATACAGTCAGTGTTTTATTTTGAAATGTTGTTCAGTGGCTGTATCGCTTCATTTTACAATTTCATTAGACATTTTGTACTTAACGTTACCATGGAACTGATATTGCGGTAGTGACGTCATGTGTTTATTTTATTTTCAGAATTTTGCTGCGTTTTCTCGTTGTTTTCTCTCGCTTGCCAGTCGTGACGATGTCTGTAGGATTAATTATTGATCATGATTTGTTTGTGTTGACAGCTGGACAACCCTGTATCGAGTTATAATACGACGTATCTCAACCACGGGTCACCGCACTCACCACAGACGACGAATTCGTCATTATCATATCCCCAGGTTAGACATTTAAACCATTTATTCAGCTACACATAGTTAAATTGGAAACAGACAAAAATAAAATTTTACCAAAAAATATGTAGTGTAGCAAGGAGTCCATTTCAATGTATGCTGTGCTACTGCACAGTACTGATTTTCATATGGCACAGATGACATTAGTAGTCAGAATTTCAGAATATTTCCAAAGTATCATTGCAATTGATGCAGAGTTTAAAAATTTGACTTTGATGAATAGTAACATATGGTGCCTACTTATTGATTTGTTGCAGTCGACGGCGACGAGTTGTGGTAGCGGTAGCGGTATGGGGTGCGGGCGGCGGAATGCGCGCGACCCGGTGGCGGGCGGCCTGCAGCCCCTCGCCTCACCTTCCGCGCCGCCCACGCCAGCCACGCCCGCCAGCATACCCGATATCGTGCTCACTGGTACGTTACCTGTTCAATATCAAGCGACTACTAAACATCGGTGATCAATGTGCGTGCTAGATGCCTGTCATTAACCCATGTGCATATTTTTACAGATTACTCGGGTGAGCTAGACGCGGGCATGTTCGGCGGCGAGGAGGCGCAGTTACGCGCGGGCCTGGACCTGGACGACCTGAGCCTGCTGGAGGACCCCACGGCGCTGGTGCCGGACTCGGACGTGGAGCACGGGTTCCGGCTGGACCGCTTGTAGTAGGCCGCCCGCGCCGCCCCCGCCGCGCGCCCCGCCCCCTCCGCCGACATGGCTGCACATTCCGCTGCGGATCCAAGTGTTCATTGTGGTTAAGCGTTTACTCATGTTTCTATTTCGAAGGGGTAGGTAAGTAGAGTTAGTTCCGAAACGGTGACGATCGACTTGTGGACGATTCGTGTGCGGCCCGAGGTGATTATTTTTATTAGTATTGTGAATAATTTACTCGAATATCATTAGGAAATTGATTCGGATTCGATCGAGTTTTTTATTATTACTGTTCTATGTCAAATTCTTGACAGTGATTTCTTTGTACATAAAAAGTAAAAGTGTTAACTTTGATGAAATTGCATTTAAATCGCTAATGTTGCATGCTAGTATAACTACGAATCCTTGGTTGCGTCGTTTAACGAATTGTTAACTGGTTTTAATACTTGAGAGCACCGTATTCTATTAGACATAAATGTTGTCAAGCAGCGACTGAATAGAAGCGAGCAGTCCACACTGATTACACTGGTATAGCACGAGCTTTCCTCCGTTATGTAGCATGTGAACATTGTGTCTCAATCTCCTATTCCTTTCTGAATATAGTTGTTTAGTGTAAACATTCTAAGCCATTGTAAATAAGAGGGATGCTGTTTATGAGGTTTTTAATAGGCTTTTGTCGCAAACATATCTAAATATGTGCGTATGTATGGTTGCGCGGCTCGAATTGTATACATCGATTATGTAAGTTCGATTTTTTATTTTTTTATTATACTTGGTCTATACATGTAGGTAAAGGGTAGCAGTGCTCACACGCCTTGGGTTTTGTAAGGATTTATTGTCTTATGATCTACATCACAATTCAAGTATCATTATAGTTAGTAGACATGCTGGACAGTAAATCGTTGGAAGACTATAATTCAATACTTTTGTGAGTATGCTCTAGTCTTTACAGCAATTTGTTTCCGTGTTGTGATTGTTAACACGTCATTTGAAACTGAAAATCTTTATTGTATAAAATGTATATCGGATAGCCAGTGATGGGCACAGTCTATCTATCTTGGGCGATATGTCCATATTGAAATTAAGTTATTTCAAGTGCCATGAGCACGTTTTAGTTGTTTATTTTGATGGTAAAAGTACAATTTTATTATAATTACAAGAAATATGTTTGTAATTAATAAGCTTTCAATCACATATAAGATATTATCTTCTAGTGTTTTTCGTGGATACAATCAATGTTGTCTTCTAGAGCGGGCTCTACGGACTTTGACTTTAGTTTTAATTTTTTCGTAAACTCGTCTTTTGTACGGCAAATATTTCTTACCACGGCATTCTTCACGCTATCTGTTTATTCGTAATCGTACTTAACGTACGATTTAGCATTTACGAAAATGTCTCGACTGAGTATTTGTCAATTTATTCTTACGATAGGACCGTAAGTTTGCCTGGTATCCCATCGTTGGCTATCCGATATCATAAAAGCTTATAATTAATTATAAGCTGCGATTTTAATGTAGCTAGCCCGCATTCGTTCAGGCCAGCAGTTTCCTCCTGAGTTTCAACGTTTACGTTTCGTCTTTCGAAATACGATTTTAATAAAACCTGCAATATTTTATCATTATAAATAACGAATTAAAACGAAACGATAACGTGAATTGTTCTCTATACCCCTGTGAATAAGTTACACATTCGTTCGCAATTTGTTTCCGACAGATACTCGATGCTAGATCATATCCTTGTTGTCTGTTTATAGAACAGTAACTATCTGAAGTTAAACTTTATATAGTTATTAAGTTTTGATATATTTAGTTGTTAAATACACCTTGCACTCGTAACATTAATTCATCTATATGTTTTCTCTCTTTAAATGAGCTTATAATTGTATAATTTTTATATTACATGTATGACATTGAAATTATTTTAATACGGACGGACGACCAGTTAATATTACGAGTGCACCGACATACAAGTAGACATTTGTGTTTTTCTGTTTTGTAAATGCTCATTATATTATGTTTTAAGAGTCTAGTCATCAAATTATGTTCAGGAAGTTTTAACAGATTCATACAATTCAACTGATTATAAATGTACAGATTTCATTCCATTACAATTATTATGAGGCAATTTGAATACAGAGGTTTGTAACAATATGTGTATAGAAAGTACCGGAGCGGGGTCGAGCGGGCCTCCCGCGGCTATTTGATACCTGCTCGTTTACAAAAGTCATATCTATTGCAACATAAGTATGTATTGTATATCTTTATGTTGTGTACAGTGTACGCAGATTTACGACTGTTCGTGTTGTTATGGTTTTAAAGTTTTATTTAAAATTCCGCCATAGAGGTATGTACTGTATGACAGATGATATACTTGTACTGTATAAATAGTTAATGTACGATAATTGTGATAAAGTAAAAAGCACAACATAATTCATTGTGAAGCCTAATCTGACGTTAAAGTAAGTTTCTTTTCTTATTAAATTTTAAATAGTGTTTTCTAAATTTAGATACATTATGTACATGTTATATAAGCTAGTGTCTGCCAAATGCAGAAGTTTACGAATATCGGTCGGGTTTGATTTTGAGTTTGAGTCAGGTGCAATAAATGGAGTATGTGTTAAAATGTTTCGACTGTCATGACACTATTCATTGAATATTATAATGTCCATGTTATTTTATTGTTCAATTCGAAAAGTACAAAGTCTAAATTGTGAATGTTCAGTTGCGACTGTGCGTGACGATGCCGTGCGTAGTAGAGCGACCGCGCGACGCGAGCCATGTGACTGACTGTCTGACTACGTGACTGAGTGACTATGTGACTGCATGACTATGTGACTGCGTGGCCCGAGCGCTCTACTACCACCACGCATTTGAAAAGTACTCATAGTTATAAAACCTGTTGGATTTTTTTACCTTTTGCATTTTGGAGTTAAGTTATAAATAGTAATAGGATAAAATGTATGTGCAGTTATGAGAATGTTTTCGATGCCCTTGGAAGCAACGAGACACCAATCTGTGTGATCGAGTATTTCTACAATTCTTAAATCTATAAATTCATACGACATTTAATTATAGGACATATGTTTTTTCTCAAATATGCACAAACTTAATGAAGATTTTGCGGTAAAATGTTTCAAAGGTTTGTTTTATTTAAACCAAATGTACATAAGTGTGATAGAGATGAAACGGTCTCATTTAAAATAAAGTTGTTGTAAGTATTTGTTTATTTTTCATCACTACCTTTAGTTCCTGATTCACCACCTTTATAGGTAGGTGTAAGTACCTACCCGATTAACTTATGTGGCACACACTTCATAAAAAACACTGTTCAAATATATCTGGCGCATGATGGCAATACAGATTAAACAGTCCCTTAATGAGTCTGACATTTCTTTCCAAGTATCTATCAGTCCTGTAACAACACCCTATCAGTCATAATTATAGCGGTGCAAAAGGAATGATCTACCGCGGCACGGCTCGAAACAGGAAGATGGACGGGACGACTTTCTATTACTCCCTCCTACTCCACATACGGCGAAACAAGCCAAAAGGTTTTTCCAATATTTATTTAAAAGAGCTTATTTGCAATTACAAATATGACGCTCCGGCTATTGGTTGTGGTTGTGATATACTTCACATACAAACTCCTTGTTCCCATTACATAGACAGTTTCATAATTAACCTCATTGTGTAGATATCGAATCTCCTTAGAGTGTAATGTTCTGTGAAATCAATATTATTTTTTTGCATAGGTACAACTGCAACTGGCTGGAAAAATAAAAACAACTGTCAATCTAATTCAAATTTTGCGCCCAATTGTCAAATTTCATATTTTTTAAGTGAATTTTGTGGGACTTTGCAAAAATGCGTTCTTGGTTTGTATTGATATTATTTGGGAGTCTACTCGTACAGACCCTAAGCAGACCACAACAGACGGAATACAGCAATGACAGGTAACACTGCTTTTATATGTAAAACTGTTTTTCCTTTAAGTAAAATGTAAAGGGAAATGTCAAATAGAATGCAGATAGAAAATAATACATTCACACAACTTTCTGATATTCAGCCAAAGCAGGCCTGATCTTATTTGATTGCTTCATAAAAAAGGTATAAGAATGGTTTACCCTCAGAATAGGTTTACCATTTGGTTCCACTAGAAAATGTCTTACTAGCCATGTAGCATTGTACGGGCGTTATGTAAAGATCTAGTTGTAAAAGCCACACACGAAGAAATAGGTACCTAGTTCGCATGTTGGTGTTACAGCGGTGACGTGGATGAGGCAGAGGAAGAAGAAGAGAGTGAACCGGCAGCCGAAGAACTTCTGACTGAGGAAGATGAATCACGCCTGACTGAGAATGTGAGTTACACCTTTTACGAACTTACTAAGTAGATACTCCCGCGCAGTTTCATTCGCTGCCCAGCTTTTATTTTTCCGTATCATGTTTAAGACATATACAGCCTATAACTTGCAATAAAAAGCTGTTCGAATCGTTGACTGCCCTGTTATCTAGGACTGGCTGGAGCCTTGGGCGTAGGGATGTAACCTCGCTTTGTTTTCAATCGCATATAGGAATCACGTGGAGTGTTCTGAGACTCGTCCCACACGAAAAGGTTTTCATCCTAATCACATAGATCGTTGGCAGTCAACAACTGAGCGATTTACGCAACTAAACTTTCTGCTCCGCACAACAAAACTTTAGAATGATCTTGGGGCGGTGGCATTACCGAACCAATACAACCATCAAATCTTCAGGAAACGTGCGCACTCGCTTTTTAAAAGGCCGACACGCCTTTGCCTCCTTTAGTACTCACCGCAAGTGTTCATGAGCGGTGCAGATCACTTACCATCAGGTGATCCGTTCTCTTGTTCGCCTCCTAATCCATAAAAAACCTTTTTATTATTTTTGACCGCCAAGCTATAGGACAAAATCTTTGTGGGGCACTATATTTTTACATTCAAACCTCAAGTTCTAGAAACACGCTCCATCGCTGCCGATCTGATATTTTCTCGATCTTAACTGTCGCGACGTTGATAGAACGGTTGGAACTGCGTAGTATTAGCGCGCAGTCTGGGATTGTGCCCGGAATATAGCAGTTGGCTCACCTTTTCTACCAGGAACACAGCCTCGGAGTCTTGGAGTAAGTGCGTTTCCAGTCTGCCTAATGTTTGTTTTAACCGACCTAAAAAGGTGTCTTAATGTAAACGTATATTTCTTTGCGGCATCGTCGTCGTTAATGAACCGATTTTGAGTCTTAGTTTTAGGTCGAAATCTTTTACTTTTAAGGTCATCCTATTAACTTCAGGTCAGGGTCGTGCAATGGAATCCCAGAGAAAAAGAGGGGAACTTTTGAAATTTGTAGGGGCGGCCAGCCTTTTTGTCGGTTTTTTGCTCTACAGCTTGAGGAAGATCTGGAGTTGACTTGATGATGGTGCTGAAATACAGTCGAGAGAACTCTTTGAAGGTTTAGACCGATGAGCTCGTGCTTAGGCAGGATTAGTTATTGATGAAAGGATCGGGTATTGATGAAACAAAGACAACACCTACATGGGGATCTAAGGGATCTCCTCAGCAGTTGTGGTTGACAGTAAATACTATGTTTCGACTTATGTAATTTGTGTTGGTGAGAATTAGGTATACATTCATGTGAATTTTTAGTAATGCAAAGTATATAGCCTTAAAAAAACTAATTAAAAACCCGTCTTCAAATACAAACTCAAACAAAAGAAGTAAAAACCTAAAAACTAAAAATTCAAATAATTGTTTCTTTACTTCTTTTTTTGCCTTTTAGTTTTGCTTTCTCTAGTTTTGATGTCGGTTTTCTAAGCCCAGTTTTAAATTTTTATAGGGATTTAGTTGGTAGTAGGTAGGGTAGTGAAACTGGGCCTCCTCTAAATTGCGGTTGGTGAGTGAGGTTGTGGATTGTTTGTTATTTCGTATTCGACAAGAGTAATAACTTGCCTGTCTATTCAATAGCAAAGCTCTCCCACACTGATATATAATAACTATTTGACATACGTTGATATTTCTTCTTTGGCTCTTGAATTGATAGACGCATTATAGTCTTTCAATACATAATTTGATTTACAGGAGCCTAGTGTTCAAGAGGAGGGTGAGGTACCGCGCAGTAGACACCTGCTCGATTTAACCGAGAGCCGGTATCTACAACGCAATACCGCCGATGACAGCCTTGCCCAAACCAAAACTGATAATGACGTATGTTGTTTCAATACCCAATAAACCAAACTGAATTCTTTTGTTTTTGGTTGCCAGATTTTATTTTTTAAGTATTAATTCAAATATTTCCATGTCAAAAGTTCACCGAAGTCATTCACTATGATTTTGTTGCTGACTAAAAAAATAATCAATTGTTTTTGTTACAGCTTATAGATTCTAAACTCGATAGAAATCGAGAGACTCGCGAGAACAGCCTGGATACCTCACATTTCAACGAACCCCTCGGTCAATTCCCCAGAAATCCCCAATCAAATACATATATTGAGTCCGCCGATGATCAGCAGGAAGCAACACAACATTTAACCAATCGTGATATAAACAAATCCAATCGCATTATACAGGACCCTGCAGAAAATCAAATCAATAAAAGAACGGTTGAGTTTGAGAGTCCCTCTAATGAAGAAGGGGAAATGTTGTTTGAAAAAAGTAGTGACCAAATAGGCAAAGCTGACAAAAACGAATACAGTAACAATGAAGTTTCCCAACCTGACGACCAGCCACATTATTACAAGCAGTACTACGACGCCTTGCAAGCTGAAAATAGAGATAATATGATCGAAGACAAAAGTCGTGATAGTGCACATTACACCTCTCGAGATAGACGTGATATAAAGGACGCTGACCAAGTAGATACTACAAATGCATCCAATAATCCAGGTAGTAAAGAAAGCAACGACAAAACAGACAGTGAGGATGAAGAGACTGCGATCAAAAGACACATAAAAAAACTGTCAGGAGAGGAATTGGACCAGCTTATGAATTCTCTTACCGATGAAAAAAGAGAGCTACTGAAGAAGATAATCGATGACGTGGATGCCAATGATAATGCATTCATAAACAAACGAGAAATAACCAAAAAAGCGGGAGCTGTCGAAGAAAATAACTATATCGAAAACTGTCAATCGGATCTGAGTAAAGTACAAGGTGGTAGCCCTATTTCAGATATAAATACCGAATCGTCACCAGTGTCGAACAGTGAAACCACAGAAATTAGCAATAAACAACCAGAAGGTCCTACTGAATCGGCTGACTTAGCCACTCCAAAGAGTGCTGAAACCAGTATAAGCTCCATCAATAAAATAGAACTACATAACGATGAAGCAATACAACTGAAAAAATCTGACAGTAATCTCAATACATTTACTATTAATTTAGACCCTAAAAATCAAGGCGAGCTGGTTGCTAATGTTCAAGTTACGACGAAAACGGAGAACAAAAGAGAGGTCAACTTAGAAGATTTGGAGGCACTTGATGAACCCAAAACGATGGAAAATGATTTGAATCTTCAAAATGCACAAGACTATGCTGGTGACCAGGGATACTTCTGTTCACAGGAGGATAGCTTATCTAAATTAGATGATGACCAACAAATTCAACAAGAAGGCAAAACTTACAAACGAGAAACTTATCCCGAAAAGCAACCAGATGTATCGGATTCCATAAAATCATTGGAAGAATCGTTCCCGAATTCAAATTCTTATGACGATACAGCGCCTTATTCTGGTCCATTAGTTAGAGTAAAACGAAAAAATTCCGAACAAATAATTAAAAAAAGAGCCGCTGGTCTTTTGCCGGACGCCAAAGTAGCATATTTTCCGTACAAAGCAGAAAATGAGGACGAAGATAACGATGAGGGTAATGAATTCGACGATGAAGGTTTTTACGACCGCACTTCTAACTTCGCCAATGGAAACAAAGATTTAGATGACGAGGTCGCCAATGCTGATAACGCTGTACCAGCTAAAAACACAAACGTTGACAACGCAAAACTGCCACATGAAAATCTAGAAAGTGACACGATGATGAGCCTCGGATCAGATACTGATAGTGTTTTATCCGGCGTGGAGGGCGTCGATGACAATCTTATGTTCAGTAGTGGCACAAGAGACAGACGCACAGCTGATGATGGTTCTAATGGCTCAGAGGAGGTTAAGTCAGAGCCGTCAACTTCAATACTAGAAAGTGAACTCAAACCTGTTTCAAAGAACTACTTCAATGTCCCACAATACCAAGAGAATGATGCATTTGGGGCTCTCCCACGAAACTATGATGGTGATTTAGCCAGATACAAGAGAATAAGACGGGTGAAACAATCTCATAACACCCAAGAACTTTCTTCTTCTGATGGCTAGCATAGAGTTATTATTTTTAAGTATTTTAAATTATGTTTGCATTCATTAGTTTGTAACTTTAATTTACATTATTTGTATTACGTATTTATTTATAAGTATTCAAATGTTAAGGTTATTTAAAAAAAGTTATTTTTCCTAGGAACAAAATTGTATAATATGCATTTGTAACTTTAATATGTAAGGCATCGCTATACGTTATGCTATATATCTCATTCCAAAGTCATTAAAATATTTCAAAATATTAAAGTAATAACTAATTTTAAATAACCATGTATATTTTTAGGTACTGTTATGTAAACATTTATAAATAAATAGTCTAATTACGTTGGTTTTTTAGTAAAAATATTTAATTATCGCCTAACCTTAGCCCTATGGAATAATATAATTTATTATGCTGGAAGCAACGGTGAATTCGAATTGCGCAAACCACAGACGCGCAGATATATCATTCTGTAGTTCGACTAGAACTCTGCAGGACGTCTTGTCATCCTTGGTATATTCCTACTATTTTATTCCTATACCTACTGCAAAATCAAAACACCTGCTAAATGATCATTATGTCAAATATATATTTAGAGATCGCTCACATCCAATAGAAATGCACCTCTTGAGTTTAGATTGAGGTCGTATTAAAAGTATTGTAGGTAGGTATTTAAATATTTTATGAATATCCATCTATATTATTTAACGAGTTCCAAATGGGTCCTCAATCCAGATGTTTAGATTGAGAAGCCACCTTTTCAATAAAATAACTAGAGATATATTTTGCTCCTAAATCCGGTATTCGTGCTGCAAAATAGGCTACATTGCTGCTAAATAATATTGAAATGAGATTTCAAAAACTTGATGTGGCTCCCTCAGACCTATGAAACCTAGGTTTCATTGGTCTGAGGTGGCTCCTCAATCCTTACGTACACGAAAACAAGTTGTCCTCTTCTAACATAGGTACAATCTCGAATTCTATTTACCCATAGTGTGCCAATGTATTTCGGTACGTTAGGTTATAACCTACCTACGTTCTATGGCTGTTTAATGCACATTCCGTTTCACCCAAGGAGGTACTAAAGCATTGCAAAAATGATACTTATTATGAGTACGTCAGTTATACTTTTTGTCTGGTAATAAATAGACATACCACCTATTGCAAGAATAGTTTCATAAGGAGTTCTTACCATTCCATACCGCCTCAGTCCTCACCCAGGGCGGGGAAAATCATTTGATGGTTTTTTGTCCGTAAAAAGGTTGCCCAATTTATTTGAAACTAGCTACTCTCGCGCGGTTTCACCCGCTGCTCTGCTCCATTTGATCGTAGCGTGATGTTTTAGTTATAGCCTATAGAACTGAGGAACATTGAAGCTATCGAAAGAAATTTGGAAAACCGACCAGCGGTTCCAAAGATTACCCCCTACATACAAACTTAAAAATTTTACCTCTTTATGTCATGTCAGTATGACCATTAACAGTGTTAATGTAAATAAAACAACTCCCTTATTATATAAAAGTTTATTGCATGGCAATGTTTGACAAAACAAAATAGAAACTTGTTAAATTAACAAATTATTACATTATGCATATAGTAAGGCATGGTTAATTATAAGACTAGCAGGTTAGATAGCGTGTACAGTAAATAACATTAACAGGATAACATTAAATAAGCTTTATAATTACTTTATAATAAGGAATGAAATATGTATGTTTAGCCTTTTCTAGGCTGATGATTTTGTTGTAGCAAAAGTATTTATTGCTGCTGCGTTATTTTTGTAGCGTAAAACTTATGTTCGCGGGAGTCACGCGTATGTTTAAAAGGGGTGCGTCCAGATTCGATCAAAGTAGCAGGACAAGTTCCATGGATGTGGGATGTAAATTCTCGCTTGTAACTAGTGCTGCCATCTCCTAAGATAAATTGTGAAGCATTTCCGTGACGTGTTACCCGTTCCACGCGTTCAACTCGTTCTGTGCGATCCATTTTCTGTGCATGCTCGGAACGTGAAAAGCTTCCATAAGATCGAGCTTCTGATTGACCATAGAAATCACCACCGACTCTCAAGTTATCTCTTACAACTCGTGTCTGTTGACGATCGGTGGCCAGCGTAGACTGCCCATCTCTTCTTGTTTGATTACGACGAGCATCCGAACTTTCGTGTTGTGAAATGACTGCCATATTATCTCTGGTCGATCTATGCATAGAACTAATACTTTTTCTGTCTGTGCTGTGCGTGGAGTTACTAATGTATTCACCTCGCTCTGACAGATTACCGATGCTCTTTCTCTGTGCAGCAGCTGTTGAACTTATAGAATGATGAGCTTCTGTGTTTGAATGAACGCCTTTGCGATGTAAAATGGCGTTCGATGTATTTGAATCGGATACCAAGTCAGAAGTGCGTTTATGATGTCCGCTACGCGAAGAGCTATCGATAACGTTGGCTGAGGGTTCATTACCACCACCGTGCATTGCTCTCTGGAATTCTATACTCGTTTTTGTAACGCTGTCACTTAATTGATTTCTATTCGTCGAATGTTGAGTTGATCTTGAAATATGTTGTTCAGAATGAGTCCCTTTGTGTACTTGTGTTGACGAACTGACGTTTCTCTGAATGTGACTCTCTGTTACGTGTCCTTGGTTGGATTGTCTCCCAGAATAATCAGACGAAATGATTCTTTGCGTCGTGTCACCTCCTCTGGTAATGTGACTATCAGTGGTTGAATGCTGCGTATTTTGACCAACATGATCACGAGATATGTTTGAACTGCCTACAATCCTTTGTGTTGTGTGGTGTTGATTTGTTACATTTTGACTTGAGGACGAAGATACAACAGATTGTGCCGATGAATGTATTCTTTGAGTGTTATCAACATGTTGCTGGTTGGATCGAGAATGTTGTTGATCTACAAGAATTAATGACCCGCGTGGCGTACCTCTTGGCCCCTGTGTTGTATTATTAATTTCGTTTGTTGAAGACGTTGATATGTAATCAGATGACACTGTTCGCTGAGTTGTGTCACTTCCTGTTTGCCGATTGCGGCTTGTACGATCATCTACATCTCTCTTAGGTGTCGATTGATGAGGGGTCGATTTACCAGTGTCATCAGTTACATCTACTTCTACGTTTCGTGTTACAGTAACCCATTTACCTCCTCTAAGCTTCTTTTCTGATATTTGTTTAATAGTTTTTGTTGTAGTGGTAGTAACAGTTTTCAGATTTTTACTGTCAGTTTTATTAACTATTGTCCTATCTGTACTGCTACGGGACACGGAACGGTCTGTTACGCCAGCAGTTCTATGTCTGTCAGGAATATTATCTTGGGATGTGGTCACTCTTTCGCTTGGTTTTGGGGATCCACTGCGATCAACCACATCATGTGATGTAATAATATGTTTGCCGTGCATACCAGATTGGGTATGTTTAATCGTAGAATGATCTGTAGTGATGTGAGACCGCTTGACGTGGGTCTCCGAGTGAGATGTATGAGATTGATCCTCGCGATGTACATGACGAGCATCATGACGAGAAACTGTTTGAGATTTAACATCATGATCATCATGACCAGTCACTGAATTAGTTTCTACAGTCTTTCTCGTTATTTCATTCGTTTGTGATTTGCTGGTATCGTACTTTGTTGTATCACCGTTGGTGTAAAGGTTGTCTTTTGGTCTGAGAGGACCTGACTTTTCTGCAGGGCTCCATTTCTGGGGTCCTGGTCGTTCAAAGTCACCTTCTGGTTTCAAATTGTCTTTAGGCCTAACCTGTGCTGGAGTTTCTCCTGGAGCCCATTTTGTAGGAGTACGTGAATCCATGGTACCTTCAGGATACAAGTTGTCCTTTGGCTTAACTGGACTTCGTCTATCTCCAGTTTCCCATTTTGGCCTTGACGGATAGCTAACATCACCTTCTGTCTTTAAATTGTCTTTAGGGCGAACTTGAGAAGGTGTTTCTCCTGGAGCCCACTTAGATGGTGTACGTGAAACCATATCACCTTCAGGATGTAAGTTGTCTTTAGGTCGAACTTGATTTGGTGTCTCACCGGGTTGCCACTGAGTTTTTGGTCTATCTGTGAACTCGCCTTCAGGATGTAAGTTGTCCTTTGGCCTTACTTGGTCAGGTCGGTCACCAGGTGACCATCTAGGTCTAGAAGGACGGTCAAAGTCACCCTCAGGTTTTAAGTTATCTTTTGGACGAACTTGTGCTGGAGTTTCGCCTGGAGCCCATTTTGTCGGAGTACGCAAATCCATATCGCCTTCTGGTTTTAGATTATCTTTAGGTCGAACTTGACTCGGTGATTCACCAGGCTGCCACTGAGTCTTAGGCCTATCAGTAAATTCACCCTCAGGTCGTAAGTTATCTCTAGGTCTCACTTGTTCCGGCCTCTCTGATGTCTCCCACTTCGGCCGTGAGGGCCTTTCGAAATCTCCTTCTGGCTTCAAATTATCCTTTGGGCGTACTTGTTCTGGCGTTTCTCCTTGCTGCCATTGAGTTTTTGGGCGACTTGGAAAATCTCCTTCTGGACGTAAGTTATCTTGATGTTTAATCAAATCAGGTCGTTCAGATGGTTCCCATTTTGGTCTTGATGGTCTTTCTATGTCACCTTCAGATTTCAAACTGTCAGGGTGTCTAATCGGAGTTCGTTTTTCCCCAGGTTTTATCTGTTCCTTAGGTCTTTTTTCAAATTCTCCTTCGGGTTTTAAGTTGTCGGGATGATAGACAATAGCAGATCTTTCACCTTTAGTCACCTTATAATCATCCCTTCTCGTGTGGTCTTCAAATACTCCCTCAATTTTTAGATTGTCTTCTCGTCGAGTTAATTTCACTCTTTGTCCCTTAACGACACGATAAGTATCAGATGAACGGACATTTTCCATCGTTCCTTCCATTTTCAAATTATCTTCATGTTTTACAATAGCAGCCCGTTCACCTACGACCTTATTGTAATCAGTTTTTTGTTTCATATCAATAAATTCTCCTTCAATCTTTAAGTTATCTTCTCTTCTAATTATATCAAGTCGTTCAATTTTTTGACGTTGGCGTAAATCAACATCTCTTTCAATAGTGATGTTATCAACTTGCTTAAATGGTTTACGTCTCTCAGCTGGTTTAGATGGAACAACTTCAGGTTTATAAAATTTA